TGTGCTCTTTAGGGATGCTGCATTATGGATAACTTAGGCTTCTGTGGTATTAGCGTTTTATTGTTTTCCTAAAAAGTGAATGCAGCTCAATCATTAATCATTTGTAAAGAAGTGGGAAGTGTGAACTCTTCTCTCAACAATTAGTGCATTCCTAGAGCGACTCAGGCTCTGCGATGTCACACTTCTCAAATGTGATGTAAGTGACACTTTAACAGGTTTGCTAAGCCAATTGGCTATGATAAAGCAATTTGCAAAAATGGAAACCAAGATCCTGGCAATTCTCCTTTTATTTGGAATTATGGACAAATTTGAAAGCAGAGAGCTATTTTTTTTAGAAAGCTTGAAATAAATACTGTGTTGCTAAAATAGAGCAGTTTTTTTAAATAAGGCCCAACAGAATGTGAATCTCTGATAATTAAAACAATTTTGTAAAGTGAAGAACTATTTCTTAACTTTGATTTTCCTCCTTATAAATGTGTGTACATTTGTCAATTCATCTATACAGTCTGATTGACACCCAATTTATTTACTAATGACTGTAAAGTCCTAAAGAAATCCTACATACATCTCAGGATTTCCAGACATACAAATTAAAAAGAATTTGATGTTTAAGACAGTGAAACAAGTTACTAGATTGTCTACCATCATAATTACTCCTCCACGGTTCTTAATATGCTTCTCAGGTGCTTACATTCAAAATGCTAATTTCCCAACAATAAGCATGCATGATTTAATTTTAGGTGATTTGATCTGGAGTAAATTATGACTCAGTCTTGAATTTTACTATGTATCTTTTTTTTTTTAATAGAGGCATGTTTTATTTATTTATTTATTTGCTTGTTTTGTTTTTGTTTATACAAGCACTGGGTACAGTCAGAAGCGCGGGAGGGTGAGAGAATTCACCAGAGCCAGAGCGGGGAGCAGAGCAGGCAGAAGGACCGAAGTACACAGCTGAGTGGAGCAGTGGGCGGCAGGAGAGGTCTGCGCGCCATGTGGGACCCTCCTCCGGTGGCCGGGGAGCAGCCGGGGATCGAACTGGCGCTGCAGAGGCTGCGGGCAGCTTCGCAACCCAGCGCTCAACCGCTGCGCCACCAGGGAGGCCCTATGTATCATTTTTACTTGCATGTTCCACCATCACCCCAAATTCCACTTATCCAGTTTTTCACCGGGTATTTTTCTTCAGGGAAGGAGTCATGCCGTAAGCTATACACATTTGCCACAGAACCTAGACTGGTATTCACAATACTTGTTAAATTTCACTGACTTGAATTGAAGCATAAACTAGGCTCTAATGGTCTTCAAACTGGGGCGCCGTTCCAGGGGGTATGCAGACAATTCTTTAGAGTGCAGGAAGAAAATATCGTAACTTGTATTTATATTTATTTTGATAATATACTTTTGACATTTCTGCTTTTTGTGTATTTTACCTTATAAATGCGTTCCAGAGTAATCCCATGGGAAATTGGGGTGACCTGCATGTGAGTCCTCACCAGCACTTAAGAATTCAAGACAAGGGGCCTCCCCTGGTGGTGCAGCGGTTGAGCGCTGGGTTACGAAGCTGCCCGCAGCCTCTGCAGCGCCAGTTCGATCCCCGGCCGCAGGCGAGGGTCCCACCAAAAAAAAAAGGAAAAAAAAAAAAAGAATTCAAGACGAACCCAAAAGCTGACATGCAGAGAGAAATGAAGGGAAAAAGAAAAAGGTTTATTTGCAAAGGCAGTTAGAGAGGAAGCAGGGGGGGGAGAGAGAGCGAGCGAGCGAGCGCACAGAAGCACAGAGACTCTGGTCTCTCGTGCATTCAGTTATACACCAAGCATGGCTGCTTGACCCTGCCCCTAGTTCCCTGCTCAGGAAATCCTTTTAGGTATTCCAGGCCTTGTGGTTCTGTTATAGGGCAGCCCCGATATTGAACGGGTTGCCTGGCTGTGGGTCCTCACCCGCGCACTTAGAAGGGACTTATGAATACTCCACTACAGGCACACACAAAAGGTTCATGAAAGGTTTATTTACAAGGGAAAAGGAAATAAGGAAAATGTACAACTCAGGGAGAAACTAGGGAAATAAAGTCTTTCATGCGTCCTACCCGATCCGCCGACCTGGAAACCCAAAGGCACTCTCGGAGCGGCCGGAAGCTGCGAGCTGGCGGGGAGCCAAAATGGGGAACCCCCCCCCAAAGCCCACGTGTCTGGCTTTCTACCAACCTGGCTGCTGAACCCCACCCTCAGGTCCCAGCCACCTTCCCTTGGGTGGGGATGGGATTTGGAGTTCCCAGTGTCTTTGGCTTTGGCCTGGGGTGGGGGTGGAGTCCACGAAGCCTGTATGGAATTAGCTTTAGGACAGCCTTTCCCCCTAACAGTTCAAGATGGCTGTATGTAAGTGGGGCGGGGAACATGGTACCTCCCCTAACAATCATACATGATGCAAATTGAACATTGGGGTTGCAGATCATATTTTCAATCAGTAGGGTTTAGATGATTAGTGACAATTTGACCAATTGAAAGCCTTTATTAACAACAGTTTATTATTTTACTGTGTTCTAGGTATTATGCTGATTGTTTTATATATATTAACTCAATTATCAAAGCAATTCTATAAAGTAGATGTTATTATCTCACATTACAGAGGAGAAAATTGAAGCACGGAGAGATTAAGTAATGAGTTTACAATGAGTAAGTGATGGAAGTGGAATTTAAAACCACATCTATTTGGATCCAAAGATAGTCTTCCTTTCTGGGAGATTCCAACTACACAATCCAACTGCCTCTATACACTGAGGACTATTTAAGTTATCTGTTTCTTCTTCTTCTTTTTTTAAAGATTTATTTATTTTTATTTTTATTTTTTATGAATTATTTTATTTTATATAATTCGTACATCATTTTTCATTTTTGCATAATGTATACATTTTCAATTTGGTTATATTCCCCATACAATTCCCACCCCCTTTTTCTGACCCTAATCCCTCTTCTCCTCCCCTCACACTCCACTGTAGTGTGTCTCTGGTCTATAGTTGCTTGTTGATTTTGATTTTTACTTTATTGCAATTAGTCTTTTTCCTGGTCCCTTATTTAAGTTTTCTAGATTCCTGCTATGAGTGAGACCATCTGGTATTTTCCTTTTTCTTTCTGGCTTATTTCGCTGAGCATGATCCCTTCCAGCTCCATCCGTGTTGCTGCAAATTGCATGAGTTTATCTTTTTGAATGCTGAGTAATATTCCATGGTATATATGTACCACATCTTCTTGATCCAGTCATCTATTTTTGGGCATTTGGGTTGTTTCCAAGGCTTAGCTATTGTAAATAGTGCTGTATAAACATAGGGGTGCAGGTGCCCTTTTGAATTAATGTTTCTGTGTCCTTTGGGTAAATACCTAGGAGTGGAATTGCTGGATCATATGGAAGCTCTATGTTTAGTAGGTCCAGAAATCTCCACACAGCTCTCCATAGTGGTTGGACCAGTTTGCACTCCCACCAGCAGTGCAGGAGAGTTCCTTTTTCTCCACATCTTGGCCAACATTTGGTGTTGCTAGTTTTTTTCATATGTGCCATTCTCACTGGTGTAAGATGGTGTCTCATGGTAGTTTTGATTTGCATTTCCCTGATTACAAATGATGCTGATCATTTTTTCATATGCCTGTTGGCCATTTGCATTTCCTCTTCGGAGAAATTTCTTTTTAGCTCTTCTGCCCATTTTTTTTTTTTATTAAAGATTTATTTTATTTTATTATTTATTTATTTATTTATTTATTTATACAAGCACTGGGTACAGTCAGAAGTGCGGGAGGGTGAGAGAATCCACCAGAGCCAGAACGGGGAGCAGAGCAGGCAGAAGGACCAAGATTCACTGCTGAGGGGAGCAGCGGGCGGCAGGAGAGGTCTGCGCGCCATGCGGGACCCTCCTTCAGTGGCCGGGGAGCAGCCGGGGATCGAACCTGCGCCGCAGAGGCTGTGGGCAGCTTTGCAACCCAGCGATCAACTGCTGCGCCACCGGGGAGGCCCATTCTGCCCATTTTTTGACTGGGTTATTTGCTTTGTTTTTGTTGAGTCTCATCAGCTCTTTGTAGATTTTTGTGATCAGTCCGTTATCATTAGTGTTGTGTGCAAAAATGTTCTCCCAGTCGGTGGGGTTTCTCTTTGTTTTTGTTATTATCCTTTTTGCTGTACGGAAGCTCTTTAATTTGATGTAGTCCCAGCTGTTTATCTTTGCCTTCACTATTACTGCTTTGGGTGATGTGTCTGTAAAGATGTCTTTGAGGCGCATGTCATATAGCGTTTCACCTATATTTCCTTCTATATAGTTTATGGTTTCAGGTCTTATGTCTAGTTCTTTAATCCGTTTTGAGTTGGTTGATTTATTTATTTTTATACAAGAAGCGGGGTACAGACCAGATACACGGGAGGGTGACAGGATCCACTGGAGGGTGAGAGGATCCACTGGAGAGAGAGCAAGGAGCAGAACAGGCAGACTGAAGAAATACACTGTTGAGGGGAGCAGCGGGCGAGAGAGGAGAGGTCTGCCATGCCATGTGGGATTCTCGCTGGCCGGTCGGGGTCGCACCTGCGCTGCAGAGGCTGCGGACATCTTCACAGTGCTGCGCTCAACTGCCTGCCTCACCAGGGAGGCCCTATCTGTTTCTTCTTAAGTGAATTTTGATAACTTTTGTTTTTTTCAGGAAATTGGTCCATTTCCCAAATGAATCCTCTTAATCAGTGCACTATTTTATCATGCACCCCTCTTTGGGGTATGCCTTTTTTTATTTTATGGAGATACTGTGAAATGGATGTCCTCCTACTTGTTAATCAGGGTATTTTGAGAACCATGTAGAGATTTTAGAAAGTAGAAAATCACTTTAAGAAAAACCAAGTAGTCAAAAGACTTGATTATATCTGGTACTTATTTCCTCTTAAAAATTATGATAAAAACATTATAGAGCTCTTTCCTAAAGAATTGTCTCTGATGTCTACAGCTGAATCCAAGTAACACATGCTTTTTAACTTTTCAGTTGTTTCTGAAGATATAACTATTCAAACAACTCTTTCACAACAAGTAGATTTGACAACTCCATCTCAAATTACTGGACTAAAACCTGAAAAGACTGCATATGCCACAGCAATGTCTAAAAGCGTGCCTGTATTTGCAACTGATTATACAACCATATCATATTTCAATACAACATCTTTATTTCTGAAAACAACAACTACACCCATTTTGTTAAAGACATCGACAACTGGCACAGTTACATCCGCAGCAGGCATTTTGTCTACTTCGACAGCCATTGCTCTGCCTACCCATTCCATGAAAATAACTAAATCCCCAAGGACAACAAAAATGGCCAAAACCATTGCTACTAAGATCTTTCATCCAACTACAATGACTAATTTTCTACACACATCAAGATTTACCAAGAATTCAATTGCATCCAAACCTTCAGTGACTGGATCTCAGTCAGCTGCTGTGAAGACAACATTTTTATTTTCATCTAAGGAGTCATCTTTCAAGTCTACAACATCTTGGCCCAAACACAGTTCCACAGATACGGGAGCACTCCCTATTCCTACCACTAGCCAGGAGTTTCTTGCATCTACAGCTGCTGGAACTGTATGTTGTTCTATGGTGGAACAGACTTCAGCTACAACTACTCACATTGGGGCAACATCAGTAACATCATCTGAACTTGTGCTCACCTCGACAGCTCCAGGGGATTCCATATTTCCTAGAAATCAGTCAGCATCTACATTGGCAACAACAGATAAGAAAGTAGCATTTACAGCTCATCCAATGACACTCCCAGCCAGGCCTATTGAGATGACACCTGCATTAAGAACAGCTGAAACAGAATCGACTTCTGTGAATTTCCAGGATGTCTCTTCACACAGCTTGGAGGATACAGTAACTACTTTCATGCCAGAAGAGACCTCTTCTATGTCCCTTTCTTTCAGTACATCCTCTCCATTTGTCAGAACTCAGAGTGTGCAGACAGGGATTCATGCTGACACTACAACTACACGTGCAACCTTTGCTCCTGGAATCACACTTGCACCTACAGTGGCTGAAACTACGCTTTCCCTCGCAATCACTGGGCTAGTATCTACTGAGAATACACCTACAGGTGATGAAAACATGCTTCCTTTGCTTTCCACTATATCAGCTTCCATATCCAAAGTAGCTGGGTCTGGCCCCACATCTGTAACTGATAATGGTGCCCAACTATTCTCCACCAGTGAGAACACTTGGACTTCCAGGCCAGACCAGACCCTGTTGACATCAGCTTTCCATGGGAGTACTTCTAATTCAGAACATTCCTCCACAACTACTCATCTTATCACTCCAGCAGAAGCATTCACAGACAGCAAGGCTACCACTGCCATGGATGTTACTATTACTGCTGATGCTGCTGCAGACAGATATACAACAGTCTTATCCAAATTGACATCTCCATGGTTTGCTAATTTCTCCACAGTTTCTGAAACCACATCTGTAACCAAACTGCCTGAGTGTAAACGTACCACCTTACTACTAAAAACCACCCCTATGGCCACAGTAGCTGAACATGAACTTCTTTCAACACCAAAGGAGACAGTTGTTCCTCCAGTAGATATAATATCTACCCTTTCTGACAATGAACTACATTTTTCTACTGAGAGTGCTTCTGAGACCACACAAACAGAAACAAGGGGTACAGTTGCATTTGGAGAGACAACAGCCCTGGCACCAGAGTCTGCAACACAAAGATTCAACACTACTGTGACAAAGAAAGAAACAACTTCCCATTATCTTAATGGGAAATTGACTGCAGCAGCGACATCTGAGATTTGGCCATCTGCAACAAGGATGGAAGCAACAGATGAACCAGCACAGGTGATGACGACATCTGTCCCTGTTTCCCTCTTTCCTGATACAGAAAACTTGAGTACCTCATTGGATAATGCAATTGCTACAACTGAGGCAAGAGGAAGTTGGCTTTCCACAAAAGCAATGAAAACCACATCCAAGAGTTTATACAATGGAACTACAGAAACTTTTATTTCCACACACACCTACACAGCACATTGGACTTCAGAGACTCCACCTAAGGGTAATTTGACACCATCTCCCACGTCTGGGAACACACGGACATTCCCTGAACCCCTGAATGCTTCCACTGCAAAGCTATCAGGGACCAGTTTTGCCACTAACCCTGCAAGCAGGACAGCTATGTCCTTGTCTGCTGGTACCTCATCTCCACAGCCTGCAGCTACCGATTCCTCAGCAACCCCTTGGCCTGTAGCCCATATGTCCTCGCTGCCAGTTAATAATTCTGCTGTCACTTCTGTGGGGGCATCTAAGGAGACTAACTTTACCATGCCCGAACCTTCTACACTGCCCAGGGCTTCCTCTACATCTGTGCTCTCAGATGTCTCAATTCTGTCACCAGCTACAGCTCATGCAACCTTGGTGCCACCATCAGATCAGACTTCTTCCATAACCAGCAAGACCGTGCCTACACACAGAGACTCAGGTGGCACCACTTCAGAGGTCACAGTGATCTCTGTCAGGATGACACCTACGGCAGTTTCCTCTTTGGCAGAAGCTTCAGGCCCCTCTCTGACACCTCCCACACCTATGGCAACGAAGACTGAGACCACCCTTCTCTCCACCTCAGTTGACATTGTAACACCATCTACACATACTCCTGCTGCATCTAAATCTCTCCCTGTCACTACTCCTGTTGTCTCCTCCACTAAGGTCATCTCGCATATGCCTACACCAGTAGCAACCCAACCCATATCTCAAGTGGAGGAGATGTCTGCCCATGCTGTCAGTTTTCCATATACTTTCAGTGGTGGTGCAGATGTTGTTAGTTTGGCCACTGACACTACAGAAACTTCTGTTGATGAGAACATCACCTCACACAGCTCTGCCAACAAGCTTACTACTTCAGTGGATGGTCACATTTCTCAATCTTCCACACATCTTTTTAGCCTACCTGTCCCCACCCTATTAGAGACTGGTATCTCTACCTTATCTTCTGGCAAAGAACAGAGTGTTTCCTCTTTAGGAAACACTGGAAACACTCTTAAAACTATGAAGGTGACAGAAGCATCCCCATCAAAGAATCCTTTTATTTCAAATTCTCACAGTACTTTGCTTTTGGAAATGACAGATACTGGATTTGTTGAAACCACAACAATTTCCAGTCACCAAAGTCATGCACCTCCAGAGATTCCACTTGTAACATCATCTAATGGGATTTCAATTTCATCTACCACTTCTGGAAGTACACAGATTACACCAACCTTGACCTTGAGTCACAAAGTAGATGTTCATAGTTCAGAAGAACCTACTAGTCTTGGGAAAACAGCTGTCCCTACACATGCTCTGACCATCACCACATTTTCATCTCCTGAAAATGAAAGCACGTGGACTCTTTCAGTAAACACTCCCAGGACTGAGAAAATGACAATAAGCACCAACTCTACGACTCACCCTGTCTCTTACCGCCAGGATACTTCATTTGTAGATGCCTCTACTTCAAGAACAAATAAAATATCAAATCCTGTAAACATCAGCCCAACTGTTTCACACTTGCTTTCACCTAGAACTCAACCTGAGGTGACTTCAATTGCCTCTCCAATTTCTGAAAACAAACAAACTTCCTCTGAGTCCCTGTCTCCTTTTACAATGGGACTATCTAGTGTCAATTTTACAATGATGTCTACTGACAGACCCAGTACAGCACTTTCTGCACAAAATGTCCCTACAGCACTTGTTGAGAAAACCTCTATGATCACATCTATCCCTACCAACCAGATGTCCTCGTTGCCAGTTAATGTTACTGTCTTCACCTCCAAAAGAGTTTCTGACACTCCCACAATACAAATGACTAAGTCTTCTAAAACAGCACAGCCAGATTACTTGAAAAGTCCCTTTGTAGCCACTTCTGGGTCTACGTCTGAGACGTCCTCAATACCAGTTAGTGACTCTGCTTTCTCACCTCCAGCTGACACTTCCACACCAGTTGGGTCATTCTCTACTTCATTGTCTTCGGTTGCCCCTAAGACTACTATGACTATCCAAGCATCCACATTGGATGTCATACCTGGGAAATACACTGGGCCTTCTTCAAAAAGCACAGTGGTTTCCTCTGTTTTCACTACTTCAGAAATGAGAGACGTGTCCTCCAGGATCATACCTACATCCTTTTCCTTTCCAACAGAGCCAACTTTCCCCTCTCTGAAAACCATCCCAACCACTATCGTGACTGGGATATTGACTCCATTCTTAGACACCACTCCCTCCTCTCTACTCAGTTCTAAGAACACAGAAGTTATTTCTTCCATTCCAAAGAGCACATTTTTGTCATTTCTATCAACAACAGAACAATCATCACAAGGAGATGAGGCTACAACTCTGGGCATATTACCTGGGATTACTAACAGCTCCCTATCTACTGTAAGAAGTGGTGGAGTGACAGTTCTCACAAATCCTTATTCCAGAACTGTTGCTCCTGAAAGTGCGCTTTCATCTACTCCTTCAAGTCTTCTCCATTCTTCCTTGAGTACACAAGTTTTCCCATCTTTGACTAGCTTCAAGAGCACTCCTGGACCCACAAGTCTAAAAGCCACTATTTACCATTCTTCAAATACAGAAAAGATGACTTCCTTGTCAGAAAATACTTTGACAACTGAACTAACAAAGAGTGCCACTTCTGTGAATACACCTGTTTCATATCCTCCATGGAATCCATCTAGTGCAACTCCATCCTCTTTGATGTCATTTCTTTCTTCCCCTCGCAGTACCAAAGCTGAGTTCTCTACTTCAAAGACTTTGCTTCCTCCTACATCCCAAATGGCTGAATTGCCAGCTCTGGGAATAAGAACCACATCTAGTAATGCCCAGTCTCTGTATATGACTTCTTGGAACACACCCACAGCTAAAGATTCTCAATTTCCAATTTCTACCACTACTCATGTGCCTACACCCGATAAGACAGAAACAGAAACTCCATACTCTCTTCCTGAGTCTTTGACAACATTTACTACCTCTCAGACTGGTCTTGTATCTGGAGATGTTATGGAAATGTCATCAATTTCCTCATCAGGAATTCTTTCTACCTTGGGAATGTCTGAGAACCCTTCAGTATCAACATCTTTAAGATCTATCCCTACCACTTTGACTGACATTAAGCACACATTTGAGAAGACTACCATACCCAAAACTCTTGGACTCACACTCCCATTGAATCCTTCTGGATCTCTGACCTCAAAGACTGCTACTTCCCCCATGCTAGCTTGGCTCGTATCTAGTCTCCATTCAGGTTCCCCTCTGGTAACTAAATCCAATACACCTCACATTACAACTTCCTCTGTAGTAGAGGTGTCCAAATCCACATTTCTGACTTCTGACATGACAGCAACACACCTGTTCACTAATTTCACAACACTTCCCTTTCCTGTAAGCACAATACTTACTAAAATCACTCCTACATCTGCAGTGGGAGGTATCACTACTGGCTTTCCAGCTTCTCCCTCTATGTCTGTAAGAATCACAGATGACAGTGTATACATTTCCAAATCCCCTGAGGCATCTTCCAGAACCACTGTGACTGCCAACTCCAGGACAGTGTCTCAAACTCCATCCTTTGGCATAATGAGTGAGTCACCTCCTACAATTGATCACACCTCACCTATTGGTTCCATGCCTCTAACTAATCCTACAACAACCCCTGCATGGAGCAGAATACCAGTTGCATCAGTATCCCTTACTTTAGCTCTTCCTAAACCCACGGGGGACTCCCTTCCAAAAATAACCACCACTACATCCATGTCTACTGGAACCTCATTTCTACGCATATCCACTGGAGTGACACATCCTTCTACAGCAACTGTTTCTTCACTACTCTCTTCCTCTCTTCCAACCTGGCTAGACCCCAGACCCTCCTTTCTATCTACAGAAACATTGACTTCACCTGTTGCAGCTGAATCCACAGGTATGTTTCATAATTTGTGTGGCATATCACTAACAGAATGCATGCTCAACAAGCTGTGTGTTCTCAGAGGTGGCCAGTTCTCAAAGGATTAAGAAGGGCACTGGCATTTCTTTTTCCCTTCAGACAGTGGGTACGGTGTGTACATTGTAGTCATCTTGCTTCCCTTTGTTTTATTGAAATATATTTCAAATATATCTTTTCATTCAATATGACATTTTATTTTTTTTTAAATTTATTTATTTATTTATTTTTATTGATTGATTGATTTATACATACATGCATACAAGCACTGGGTACGGTCAGAAGTGCGGGAGGGTGAGAGAATTCACCAGAGCCAGAGCGGGGAGCAGAACAGGCAGAAGGACCGAAGTACACTGCTGAGGGGAGCAGCGGGTGGCAGGAGAGGTCTGCGCGCCATGTGGGACCCTCCTCCGGTGGCCGGGGAGCAGCCGGGGATCGAACCGGCGCTGCAGAGGCTGCGGGCAGCTTCGCAACCCAGCGCTCAACCGCTGCGCCACCGGGGAGGCCCTCAATATGACATTTTAAAGCCTCCTTTCTACCCATCAGGAACCTCACCCCTTTCTCAGTGAGTGGATTCTATGGTCTTAGGTCTGACATGTTATCCAACACCAGAAAACACCAGAATATATTTTAGCCTGACTTTAAAAGTTTTTCTTATACAGGTCTCAGTCTTCTCCAGTCTCCACTTCTAACTAGCTAGGAATGTTTATCCATGGCCAGCGAGTATTTGGCTTCCATATTGTTCAAATTATGGATGTTCCTTCGGCTATTAACATTACAAAATTGAAATTTGATAGGCTAGACAAGAGAAAGAGGGAAATAAAAGGAGAAAAATCTGAAGTAGAAAAAAAGTCTTAGGAAGAAATAAATATTTTCTCAGTACAAATGATCTTGGGAGATAATGCTCACCTTGGCCATTGTTGCAAGTGGCAAGATTTCATCTCTTTTTATAGTTGAGCAGTATTCCATTGTGTATATATGCCATGTCTTCTTCTTTTTTTGTTTTTCATTAGATGTGATTTTCCACCTTCCTTTTTTTAAAAATAAGTTTTATTTTTATATTCCCCATACAATTGCAACCCCGATTTTGACCCCAATCCCTCCTACCCCCCCCCACCAAAGAGTGTGTCTGGTTCATAGTTGTTTGTTGATTTTGATTTTTTCCTTTCTTATTCTTTTTCCTGGTCCATATTTAGGTTTTCTAGATTCCTGTTATGAGTGAGACCATCCGGTATTTTTCTTTTTCTTTCTGGCTTATTTCGCTGAGCATGATCCCTTCCAGCGCCATCCATGTTGCTGCAAATTGCATGTGCTTATCTTTTTTGAATGCTGAGTAATATTCCATGGTATATATGTACCACATCTTCTTGATCCAGTCATCTATTTTTGGGCATTTGGGTTGTTTCCAAAGCTTAGCTATTGTAAATAGTGCTGCTATAAACATAGGGGTGCAGGTGCTCTTTGGAATTGATGTTTCTGTGTCCTTTGGGTAAATACCTAGGAGTGGAATTGCTGGATCATATGGAAGCTCTATGTTTAGTAGGTCCAGAAATCTCCACACAGCTCTCCATAGTGGTTGGACCAGTTTGCACTCCCACCAGCAGTGCAGAAGAGTTCCTTTTTCTCCACATCTTGGCCAACATTTGTTGTTGCTACTTTTTTTCATATGTGCCATTCTCACTGGTGTAAGATGGTATCTCATGGTAGTTTTGATTTGCATTTCCCTGATTACAACTGATGTTGAACATTTTTTCATATGCCTGTTGGCCATTTGCATTTCCTCTTTGGAGAAGTTTCTTTTTAGCTCTTCTGCCCATTTTTTGACAGGATTATTTTCTTTGTTGTTGTTGAGTCTCATCAGCTCATTGCAGATTTTTGTGATCAGTCCTTTATCATTTGTGTTGTGTGCAAAAATGTTCTCCCAGTCGGTGGGGTTTCTCTTTGTTTTTGTTATTATCTCTTTTGCTGTGATATGCCATGTCTTCTTAATCCATTCATCTACTGTTGGACGCTTAGGCTGTGTCCAAAATTTGGCTATTGTAAATAGAACTGCAATGAAGATAGAAGTGTTTATATCCCTTCAAGTGTTTTGGGGTGGATTTCCAGAGTGAGATTGCTAGGTTGTATGGTAGGTCTATTTTTAATAATTTGAGAAACTTCCATACTGATTTCCATAGGGGTGGGACCAGTCTACATTCTCACCAGTGTACAAGGTTCCCTTTTATCCATCCACACCCTCAACAACACTTGTGTTTCTGTTTTTTTGACCTGGGCCATTCTCACAGGAGTTAGATTATATCTCATTGTGATTTTGATTTGCATTTCCCTGATGGCAAGTGATGATGAACATTTTTTCATGTGCCTGTCGGGCATTTTGTGTATCTTCTTTGGAAAAGTGTCTATTTAGTTATTCTACCCATTTTTAAATTGGGCTATTTGTTTTCTTGTTGAGTTGTACGAATTCTTTGTAGATTTTGGATATTAGCCCTTTGTCAGATGCATGATGTGTGAATATTTTTTCCCATTATCATTTATAGGATAGTTTACTTTGTTGTGCAGAAACTTTTAATTTTAATTTTAGTCCAATTTTTTATTTTTGCTTTTGTTTCCCTTGCTGTTGGAGTCCAGTCCCAAATGCATCACTAAAAACAATGTTGCAGTGTTTTGCTTATATTTTTTCTCTATGTATTTTATGGTTGCAAGTCCTACAGCCAAGTCTTTAATACATTTTGAGTTAATTTTTGTATGTGGTGTGAGATAGTGGTCTGATTTCATCCTTTTGCCTGTGGTTCAGTTTTTCTAACATGACTTATTGAAAAGACTTTCCTTTTTCTTCGGCTCCTTTGTCATAGGTAAACTGTCCATGTAAGTGTGGGTTCATTTCTCAGCTCTCAATTCTATTTCATTGATCAATGTATCTATCTTTATTCCAATACCATATTGTTTTAATCACTATAGTTTTGAGTGTAATCTGATGTCTGGGATTGATACCGTCATTCTTTCTTGTCAGGATTGCTTTGGCTATTTTGGGGTCTTTTGTGGTTCCATATGCATTTCAGCAATTTTTCCTCTGTTTCTTTGAAGAATGCTGTTGAAATTGTGAAAGGATTTGCATTGAATCTGCATATTGCTTTGAGTAAGATGATTACTTTGATAATAGTAATTCTTGCAATCTATGTACAAGGAATTTCTTCTTCTTCTCCTTCTTCTCCTTCTTCTCCTTCTTCTCCTTCTCCTTCTTCTTCTTCTTCTCCTTCTCCTTCTTCTCCTTCTTCTCCTTCTTCTCCTTCTTCTCCTTCTTCTCCTTCTTCTCCTTCTTCTTCTTCTTCTTCTTCTTTTCTTCTTCTTCTTCTTCTTCTTCTTCTTCTTCTTCTTCTTCTTCTTCTTCTTCTTCTTCTTCTTCTTCTTCTTTCTTCTTCTTCTTTATAGTTAATGTTGTAAAGATCTTTTACTTCCTTTGTTAAGTTTATTCCTAGGTGTTTATTTATTTATTTATTTTTAAAAAGATTTATTTATTTATTTATACAAGCACTGGGTACAGTCAGAAGCACGGGAGGGTGAGAGAATTCACCAGAGCCAGAGCGGGGAGCAGAGCAGGCAGAAGGACCGAAGTACACTGCTGAGGGGAGCAGCGGGTGGCAGGAGAGGTCTGCGCACCATGCGGGACCCTCCTCCAGTGGCTGGGGAGCAGCCAGGGATCGAACCGGCGCTGCAGAGGCTGTGGGCAGCTTGGCAACCCAGCGCTCAACCGCTGCACCACCTGGGAGGCCCTATTCTTAGGTGTTTAATTCTTTTTGATGCAATTGTAAATGGGATTGTTTTCTTGATTTCTTTCTCTTCTAGTTCATTGTATGTTTTGTTTAACTTTTCAAAGAACGAGTTATTGGTTTCATTGATCTTTTGTGCTCTCTTTTCAGTTTAATTCATTTATTTCTGTTCTAATTTATATTATTTCCTTCCTTCTGTGGGTTTTGTTTTCATTTGCTGATGTTTTTCTAGGTTCTTAAGGTATAAAGTTATAATTTATTTGAGTTTTTTCTAGTTTGCTGATATGGGCCTATATTGCTATAACCTTCCCTTCTGGCTCTATCTTTGCTGCATCTCATAGGTTCTAATACCATGTATCTTTATTTTCATTAGTTTCCAATTATTCAAAAATTTCTTCTTTGATTTCCTTATTAACCCAAAAGTCATTCAGTAGCATGTGGTTTAGTCTCCATATATTTGAGCTTCTTCTTGTTTTCTTTCTGTGGTTGATTTCTATTTTCATGACATTGTGGTCAGTGAAGATACTTGAAATAATTTTAAACTTCATGAATTTATTGACACTTGTTTTGTGCCCCAGTGTCTTGGGAATGTTCCATATGTATAATAGTGCTACTTCTTGACCTTGGTGTTAAATTAAGCAAAGTTTAGCAATGTGACTTCATTGTTTGGTTTCTTTAAAGTAAAGAACATGTTTGACAAAATTTATGGAAGCTAAATTTCGTGAACTAAATAGATGAAATAAATCTATTTATTTTTAATTACAGTTTCCTTCTATGATATTAAAATGAGCTTCTCTGTCTTTGATGAAGAGTCAAGTATCCTTGTTACCAGTGTTCTAGAAGAATTTTCAGAAAATTGGGTAAAATGATCTTCTGATTATTTATGATACAGTAAGATATGTGAATGTATATATATATATGACAAAAACTGAGTAGATTAAAGCTAATCTTTACTTTTTTTCTACCTGGAATGTGTTCCACAGCTGCAAATCTATCCTCTCTATAAGAAACACTGTAATGATACATGCGGTCTCTCTTTCACAGTGCCAATGCTGAAAGCTTTTATGGAATGTTATTATTTTAATTTGTTTAGAACTGTACATTTTCCTTCACTGACACAAATTCCAAATCTTTGCCAAATTTTCTTATCTACGAAACTAGAAAAGCAGTGATAACAAAGTCTATGCCATTGTATTTAAGCATTTTTGTTTTCTTTAATTCTTTCCTCCCTCTTACACAACAAATATTTTATTTACCATTATACTTTCCTGATAATAAGACTAAAATATATGCTAAGATTAATACATACCAAAATCTGAAAGCCAGAAAGTAAATGTTCTCTCTAATACTACTCTTTGTGTTATCTTCTCTTAACAGTTTGAGGTTTAGTCTTTTAGACTTTTCTCTATAAAGATAATAATATTGATACATGTATATTATTTTATAGGAATAATCGGAATCAAAAATAATGCTGTTCTGTAACTTGTTCCCCCCTCCTCGCACACACATAACCATTTATCTTTGAGCATATTCATACTGGTCAATATAGATCTACCTCACACATTTGAACAGATGCCTAAGATTTTATTAGATGGTTATAATGTAGTGTTTTTTCTAAATTCAGGTGAACAATCTATCCATTGGTGGATACTTAGGTCGCTTCTATTTTTTTCCTTTATTTGGAAGCAATGCTCATAAAAAATGCCCTTGCAAAAAATTTGGGGGGGGGGGTTACTTCAACATTTCTATAAGATAAATTCCTAGATTGGAATTGATAGATCAAAAGATGTGAATATTTCACATTATTTATTTATTTATTTATTTATTATTTTTTAAAGATTTATTTATTTATGCATACAAGAGCTGCAGTATAGGCCAGAGATGTGGGGGGTGAGAGGATTCACCAGAGACAGAGTGGGAAAAAGAACAGGCAGACTGACTGAAGTACACTGCTGAGGGGAGCAGCGGGTGAGACAGGAGAGGTCTGCTGCACCATGTGGGTTGCTCCCTGGCTGGCTGGGGATCGAACTTCTGCTGCAGAGGCTGCGGATTTCTTCATAGTCCAGTGCTTAACCCCTTGCGCCACCAGAGAGGCCCCACATTTCACGTTTTAAATGTTATCACAAAGGGGCTGTCCAGATAGGAGAGAACTCGCACCCCCACCAACAGTTGTTGTTCATGTCTGTTTCCCCTTTCTCCCCATCAGCATTTATTTGCAAGTATAAATGATGTGATTACAAGTGCTTGAAAAGGGATGGGTGTATTTGTCCACTTAGGCTGCCATAATAAAATACCACAACCTAGGAGATTTAAACAATGGATATCTATTTTCTCACAATTTTGGAGGTTGGAGTTCTGAGATGAAGGTGTTTGTAAAATTGGTTTCTAGTGAAACCTCTCTCCTTGACTTGCAGGTGCCTCCTTCCCTCGTTATGGTCCTCAAATGGCCTTTTCTGCATCTGTAAATCTGTAAATGGGTAGAGGTAGTGGGGTGATAGAAGGATAGAGAGGGGGGAAGAGAGAGATAGAGAGAGAGAGAAGAGAGAGAGAGAGAGAGAGAGAGAGAGAGAGAGAGAGAGAGAGAGAGAGAGAGAGAATCTTGTTCTCTTATAAGGACACCTGTCCTATTTGGTTAAGGCTTCACCCCTATGAGCTCATTTAACTGTAATTACCTCCTTAGAGGGCCCATCTCAAAATACAGTCACATTGGGGATTTGGGCTTCAACATATGAATTTGGGGGTGGGGACACAATTCAGCCCATAAAGTAGGTAAAATGAAAATTTAAAAAACTGAGTGGAGCAGATGGAAATGTTGGAGCAACTGAAATAATGAATGCAGCTTAACGATGACATCATCTCAGGTAACTTTGCTGGGTTAAGGTAGAGGAGCGGAATACTAAAACTGATCTTTTTTTTGTCTTTTATAGTTGAATTCTATATTTCAGGACAGTGAATTTGCTCTTGCTAATTTGGCTGTTCAAATTAAAAGCAGGTATGCTAATGTCATTCACTGGGGTTTAAGGGCAGTTTGAGAACCTTCTGAGACTCTTCCTGTTTTGAGGGGATTTTCTTTTCTCCTTCTTTTCATTGAGGTAACTAACATTAGTTTACAACACTGTATAGGCTTCAGGTGTACAGTTTCTCACCTCAGCACCTATTTATCATACCATGTGCCTCTCCCAGATGCCCCAAATGTCCCCCAAATCCACCACCAGTTGGTTCACCACCATCCTGTTGGGTTTTTTTTTTTTTGTTTGTGCCATTGCTCTTGCCTGAGATGTAAGGGCTGCTGTGTTTTGAGTTGCATCTTCCCTTCTGGGTGTAGGTTATCTTCAGAATGAGGAAGAAATGTGTTTCATTGCTTTAGAGTATAAAGTCACTGGGAGAACAAATCAGAAGAACATAATAAGGGAAACAGCAGAAATCAACTGAGTTACGTCGAATGCTGTTTTCAGCTTAAAAATACCATGCTTCTGTGACTTAGAAAAAAAATCATCCCTTAAAAGGATGAGAGACTAAGGATGGCCATTGCTTAAGGATTTACAAAGCCTTTTATTTTTTGGACAATGCATTTTCAGGAATTAGAAATTCCAATGGGAACTTGAAGTTTTTATTTATTTATTTATTTATTTATTTATTATTTATTTATTTGGAACTTGAAGTGTTTAAAGTGAGGAATGCGGACAAGTTCAACACTGTTCAGGCTACAAATTTGGTGAGGTGATGGTGGTAAATTTGGCGGGCACTGAGCAGTATCAAGGAGACCATGACAAGGGCAATGGGTCATCTAAGAAATATTTCCTCTGCTCTTACCCTGCGCATATCCTAGTCTTGTGTTAAAGAAATGTCCAGAAGAATCTCTTTGAAAAATAAGTATGACTCTGGTGTTCCATGGTAAATTGATTTTTAAAATATTAAATGTGACTATCTTCCATATCTTGAGATTTTGTTTTCTCTTACACATTCAGATAAATAGGTTCCAGAACGTTCATAGGAAGTAATAGGAATAAATCCATGTAAGTCATTAAAATAGTGAATGTCTGGAGTATACAACATTCTTTAAAAATTGTGTTTACTATTTTTCCTTATTACAAAAGTAATGTGTGGCCATTATAAAGTCTTAAGGGTTTGTAGGAATATATAACACAGATAGCAAAAATGCCCAGAAACCTGCCTTCCTTCACCTTGTCCCAGAACTTTTGTTAATAGCTTATTTTATATATTCTTCTAGATTTGTTGCTATGCATTTATAAAGAGAATGGGCTCTTACTCTACAAGCTATTTTACAACTTTCTTTTCTTTCTTTAGAATACATCATGTACATCTTTTCAGGCCAATGCATACAGATTTGGCTTATTCATTTTAACGACTGCATAAAATTCTTTTGTGGGGGTGTGTATGGTTTATTCATCCAATTACCTAGTGATGGATGGCTCAGTTACTTACACCTTTGTACCTATAGTTTTTATGTACCCTTGCTGGTATTTTTCTGGGTTAGATTGTTGGAGGTGGGATTGTGCAGTCAAAGACTTACCACCATTTTGATATGTAAATAATGACCAAGCTCTTTTGAAGAATCTCCTAGGAGCTCTAATATTACCTGATGGTTTCATTCATTTGTAGAAAATAAATAACCAGAGAAAACAAATTGGCAAAAAAAAAACGAGAATAATTTTTAGACTCTGGAAAAAATATACTTGTTATCAAAAGGAATGAGGGTAGGGAGGAGGGTGTAGGGGAGGGGATGTGACAGGATTGTGGCACTGGAGGCTTGGTGGAGGGTGAGTGGGGCATGTGTACAAATGGAGGAGTGAATATGTTCTCTCTAAATTATATAGTTATGTAAACAATTGGCAATCAATAAAATTTGAGAGGAGAAAAAAAAAGAAATCTAAAAGCCAAGATTGATAATGATTCTAAGGCCCGAACACTATGGCTATATTACTTTTATATAATAATTTTAGTAATGAGTGACCAAAAGGTCACTGTCTCTTCCAGCTAAAAGAAAAGAAAAATGTAAAACTCAAACAGTATGTACTAAAAACTTCCATGGCCTCCCAGATTTGGAAATGTCTATTTAAATTATAAAGGTTTTATTTTGTGGTATAAATGATCTCATTTATATTTATTTATTTATCTTTGGGTTGTTTACGTGTCTATATTACTTTGGGGTTAAGTTTTTACTCCTTCATATATTTACATGCTTTGAAAAGTTAAGGTATAGGCTAGAGAAATTACTTGGAATTACACATCCAACTAAAAACTGGTATCTCAAATATGCAAGGACCTTTAAAAGTTTCATAAGACAAAAATAATCTAATTAGAACATGGGCAAAAGATATGAGGAGCATTTTACTGAAGAATATATATCTTTGACAAATAAACACATACAAAGATCCTCACCATGAACCATTGCTGTAATGTAAATAAAAACTATCAGAAAGGCTAAAGTAAAAATAGTGACAAAACCAAATGCTGATGAGGATAAGAAGTAATTTGCACACACATAAATTGCTGGTGGGAGTGTAAAATGATATAGCCCACTTTGGAGAATGGCTGATTTTCCTTAAAAAAAAAAACAGTCAAAAAGCATAATCATGCAACTAACATACACCCTAGCCACTGTGCTCCTGGTCATTTATCCTAAAAAAAAAAAAAAAAGAAAAAAAAAAGAAATTCCAGTTGGGGGATTCTACTGTTCTGTTCTTGGATTTGTTGCTCCCTGACCTTGTGTCTCCATGTGTTTGCTGCTATATTTCATTTTTCTATAATTTTGTGATGCTTTTTTTCACAGAGAAACTCCTGAGGAAGAAATAAACAAGCAAGGAGATTTTGTAAGTAATTTTGCAAAACAAACCTGCTCGTAACCCATCATTTACCTGATTAGATTTCAGTAAATAACTTCCACCCGCATGTACGTTATCAGGCAAAGCTCAATTCTGATAATTAGGGGTCAAATTACAATATTTTCTTTGGGGTCTGCACAAGAACCTATCAAGAAGCTCATTCTCTGCCTTTATTTTTTTTTCTTTTTCTTTTTTGAGGTACCATTGTGTTAAGGCATGACAAAGGGGCCCCCAGCAACCCCAAACTGTTAAGGGGTGCATGCTGTAACAGGGATTCTGCCATCTGCTGCACAAAGACAAAAGAAGCAGACTTTTAGTGTGATAGAATTATTGTGTGTATGTATACATACATACATACATACACATACATATGGAGGGGGGAGGGAGAGACACAGAAAGAGACAGAGAGAGAAGAAAGGCTATTCCTAATAATAGTTTCCCAATAAAACCCGCAAAATTGTCTCTCCCCTCATGGACAAATGTCCAGCCAAACAAGATCAGTCTGAAGCAGACCCACAAACTTGGCACAAGTCTAAGGCACCTTCTGGCAGGGAACAGTGAGAAAGTGGTAAGGCAGGTTCCAGAAAGCTAGGACAAAAGGAGAAAATGCAAAATCAAAGTCCAAATCAAGAACAGGGTCTCTGCCAAGGGCTAGGAGCTGCCTCTCCGCGTGTCTCCCATCTGCCTGTCTCTTTCATGTGTCTCTACATGTCTTTCCTGCACATGTCTCCTTCCAAGTCCCACAGAGTTCCTGGGTGCAAGTCAAAGCCGGAGAAGCAAGAGTCCTCCAAAGGACGCACCTGCCTTCCATGCAGTATAGCACCTGATTACTCGGCTCCACCCCTAGTTCCCCTGATCAAGAAGTCCATTTCATGGCACACTGGGGCCTGTAAAACAAGGTGGTTACGTACAAGTGGGGATGGGGAAAATGGCACCTCCCCGTCATGGAGGTGCCTCTGTACAACTGCATTATAACATTATATATAAATTTCAGGCTTTCATTGTTGAAAATCAGCATGTGTGTCTACTACAGTAATGTCATCTCTAAAGGTTCAGATCTATCTTTCGCCAAACCACGGTCCCCTTTTAAACCATTTACTCTCTGTTTTTCTGAACGACTTAGCAGTGTTTTGAGGCACATTTTGTGGGCTATGGAAATGTGGAATGACTTGGGGATTGTAAATGGTAAATGGAAAGTCTTGCTCGTAGACATCTTGCAAAACACCCTGGCTCTTCCAAGAGTGACACATTGCTTGCAAGACTGGCATTCACATAATAAATATATCCTCTATTTGTACAGATTTGAAATCAGAGTAAGACAAGCTTGCTTCCCATCATCCTGGCCCCAATTCTCAGTATTTATTCCAGTGCTTTAAAGTTTTAATTTTTGATTTGGAAATGATTAGTAAGCACAGAAATTTTAAGGTATTTTATGAGCTAAATCTTTTGGCTATACAAAATACAATCAAATCTATAATATTTTGCAAGTTATCTGTTGTCATTTAAGAAGCTTCTGGTAAATAGTTGAGGCAGAATTTTTAAATTCTAGCCCTTGAGATAACATGACATGATTTAAATTCTTCTCAAACAATAGGGGTAAAGACCTTTTGGCAATAATGTGGTTTTCAGAGGCAAGCCTGCTTTGGAATCCCTGGGCAACTCCATTAACCTGTCTGTGCCTGCTTCCTCATCTGTTAAATGGCAATAACAACAGCGCCGCTCTGCACAGGGCTTATGACAAGGTGGAGTGGGCTAATGTATGGGAATTGCTTAGCACAGGGTAGAAGGCATAGAAATGCTTGGAAGTGTTTATAGTTGTTAGAATCCAGATCCAGAAGACTCATTTTCTGTCATTCTTTAGCAGTGTGATGCTGGGTGGATCATTTAACTTCATGAGACTTAGCTTCCTCATCTAGAAAATGGGAGGGTAATTCTTTTGTTGTCCTACAGGGTTGGTGGGAGAACTACCAGCATTGATGTTTTCAAGGTGATCTGCAGATAGTAATGGGTTACGCAAATGGAAAGTATAATTATGCTTGTTTTTGTTAACAATAACTCCTGTACTTGATTGGGACATTTGTTTAAATATTTTTGTGATTATAATTCTTTTCTTTTGCATTATTTGAAACAGAAAGAAGGGCAAGGAATGGCTATAATTTCCCGGGTACTACACAGGTAGGAGCTGAGTTTATTCATAGCTGGTACATTTGGTTCTGATTTTCCTTCCATTTAATTCTGTATGTGCAGCCTGTTGGTCAGAGTTGTCAGAAGGAGATCAAAGTACTGGTGGTTATTTTACAGATGCTGTAATTGGGCTCTTGCCTTCATGAAATAAGTTGTTTCAGTTGGTCACGGCACAGCCTAGCAGCCTGCCTGCTGCCTCTTTGTAGTGAAGAGAAAATGGGGTCCAAAGTGGTCATAATTTGGGGATGGGGGAATAAAGTGTTTGTTGTCATCAAAAAAGTTCACAAAATACTGAGCAGGGAAATTGAGAACAACACCTTGGAAAGCAGCCTGGGTCTTGTTCAGACTCACGGTCCAGCTCCTCCCAATCATCAACTACTGTTGGCCAGACTGAGGAAGGTCATGGAGGACATAGAGCCAAAGAAGGGCTGGTGGGAAGGCCCCTGGAATGTTCAGGGTGCTAAGGGTCTCTCACAGCAAGAGGAAAGGCAGAAGAAAGAAGAATCCTCTCAAGACTGGAAAGCTGAGAGCTGAGAAGAGCTGGGCTGCGAATGGACTGGGTAGCAGGAGCAGAGATGTCACCAATGCGGGTGACTGGGGCGAGGTGGGGGGAGGCATGGCTCGGCCGGGACAGAGAGAGAAATGTGGAGTGAATGCAGGTGCATCTCACCTTTAACAGCGGACAGGACCCCTGAGAATGATGTATCAAAAAGATGTATCAACAAATGCCAACAGGGAAATGGTATAGATAAGTTTGGGGATCTGTTATGTGCTCCGTCTTAGAATATTAGAGGAACTTAAAATGTTTGAGGACCTTGCTACAGAGGTTGAGGTCAAGGACTACCTTATTCTCTCATAATATATCCTTTAGTGGCCAGAATATTTAGAAATGGAATACTATGTGATTATGACCTTGGGAAACACCATCTCCAAGACTCTGTTTTCTCATCTGTAGGATGGGGATGATAATAGCACTACCCCCAGAAGGTTGCTGCAATGTTAACATGAACCAAAGCATTGGAACAAGAGTGCTACAAATGTTGCTCATGGTCATTATCATTACCACTATTGCAGAGATAAACCTTTTGCAGAACACATCTTTTTTTTTTTTTAAAGATTTATTTATTTATGCATACAAGACCTAGGGTGTAGGCCAGAGGTGCAGGGAGGGAGAGGGTTCACTGTAGACAGAGTGGGGAGCAAAACAGGCAGATTGACTGAGATACACTGCTGAGGGGAGCAGCGGGCGAGACAGGAGATGTCTGCTGCGCCATGTGGGTCACCTCCCTGGCTGGGGATGGAACTCGAGCTGCAGTAGCTGCAGATAGCTTCATAGTACTGCGTCTTAACCCCTTGCGCCACCAGGGAGGCCCCTGCAGAACACATATATTTTTTTAAAGATTTATTTATTTATGCATACAAGAACTGGGGTACAGGCCAGATGCGCAGGAGGATGAGAGGATTCACCAGAGACAGAGAGGGGAACAGAACAGGCAGACTGAAGAAATATACTGCTGAGGGGAGCAGCGGGCGAGACAGGAGAGGCCTGCTTCGCCATGTGGGACCCTCGCCTGCTGGCTGAGATTGAACCGGCGCTGCAGAGGCTGCGGACAGTTTCACAGCGTGGTGCTCTACCACCTGCGCCACTAGGGGTGGCCCAGAACACATCTTTATAAACAAGTTGAGCATGGGTCTACTTGCCTTGCTTCAGTAATGATGGATAAACCGGAAACTGGAAGGATGAAAGGGTTTCTTTGAAGTAATAAATTCTTAGTATTTTTTCTCCATTGATTATCACAAACTTTTGGAGAAATCGCAAGGCTAGTCAATTTCAACCCAGTGCAAAGGTTGCTGACCATTCTTTTGAAAATAGGTTTTGACTTGTTTGTCTTGGATACAAGAAAATTTATCACAAGATTTTGACATGTGTCTTCCATCATTTCTTAAGATTTGCCGTTAATAGCTAAATAGGTTAAATCGGTTTTGACTTGTCTTGGATACAAGAAAATTTATCACAAGATTTTGATATGTTGCCTTCCATCAATTTCTTAAGATATGTCATTAAATAGCTATAAAATGCTTGCTATTTTTGGATTACCAATTAAGTCATCTGTGCAGAATTTCAGCACCACAGGCCAAGTTGCACTCTGTTGATATAACTGCAAAATCTGGCTCTTTTTCTGCTTTGCATTTCAGGTGTGTTTGTCAGGTCATCATTAAGGCCAACTCTTCTTTACCATCCACCGAATTGATTAGCAAGATCAAAAGTAAAATACATGGCAACTTCACACAAGATCAACTGACATTATCAATAAGGTCTGAACACGTCGCAGTTGAAAAACTCGGTAAATGGTGGTGGTGGGGGTGCCGGTATTTCCATATGAGTTCTCTCCCCTGAGTATAAAGCTCATGGTGCAAACATACTTATGGGGTCCTGAGTTCACAGGGGAGAGAGGTTGTCTTCACCTTGCTTTCCACATCCTCAGTGCCCACTTGCTCTGACACCTTAAAGAGTTCATAAAAATCAGTACCCCGGGGGTTATCAGAGATCCCAGCTCAGCTCTGGAGTGGGAGAACGTTCTCTCTTGCATAAATACCCAGAGACCTGGAGAGCTTCCTCATTACACACCAGAGACCTGGAGAGCTTCCTCATTACACAGAATAGCTGCCCAATGGGTCGGTGCTAATTTATTGATTGATTTGCTCAGTCTGTTCCTCTTAGAAAGTGATTGCGGAACAGTCCAGAATCTCTCTTGTGGACATTGTCTGCTCCCATCAGCAAGGTTTCAGTGGTAAAGGAGAGTCGCATCAGTTCCCCTCCCTCCCATTGCTGCCAATTTTCTTTCTTGTCCCAGAAGAGTGAGGTCAAAATTCTCTGAGCTAACAAAGATAACACATGAGACATTAGAAGGCCCAGCCTTGGCAACAGGTGAGTTAAATGGCAGATGGCAGGCAGTGAGAGTAAAAGGGTGAGCGTGAGAGGAAAGGAACGAAAGTGTGGAGGCCCCAGGCAGAGGCCACCACTCAAATGACAATAATGATCACTTCCTGAGAGTGAGAGCAAGGTAGGTGTCATCTTCATTCAGAGAGGAGACTGGAATGGCAGGGCCACTCTGTCAACACCTGAGGACGTGATCTCCACAATCAGGCACTTAACCCCAGTGCATGGTAAAAACTTAACATGCGAATCTGGCCCAGGTCCCATCTCCTTTCTTGTGGCAACACTTGGCAGCCAGACCTCGGCCTCAGCACCAACATCAGAACGGAAGTCCCCTGACCCTGTGGGTGATGGCAGATGTGTTGAGTTGACTAAAGCCAATTCCACCCGACTCCAAGAAGTACAAACCATTCAGAAAGAGAAGTCAGGAAAGCCACATCTTCACAGCGTGAACCTCAGAGGAGGCAATCGCAGTGGAGACTCTGGGTTTTTACTCTACACCCCAGTGGGCTTCAGTTTTTCGTGATGTATGTATATCATTTTGAAAAACAAAAACAAAAGCAAAAAAACTGTCCTGTCAGCTGGTGGTTTGCATGAACAGGACTAAATGTGAGGTTGTCCTGGGAGACTTAAAGAAAAAAGACTCCATTTAATGCTCTTTTTAGTGAAGCCTGGCAGAAAAAGTTTCCTCTCGCTGGTATTTATGTGTAGGGTAATAAATGATGGGTCATAATGGATGTTCTTGACACCTTTAAGTGCCTTTTGCCCTTTAAAAGGTGCGTACATTTTTCTCTATAGAGCCAGGAAAGTGCAAAGCCGATGAAACAGCCTCTAAATACAAAGGGACGTATAAATGGCTCTTAACCAACCCCACCGAGACTGCCCAAACCAGATGCATAAAAAATGAGGATGGAAATGCTACGAGGACCTGGTATGTCCGGCCAACTTCTAATTGCTAGCTCACACACCCACAGACCTGCTGCACTGGCATGTTCCCATGTCTGCACAGGCCCCTCCTTCCACCTGTCTGGCTGTCTTTCTTTAACCTTCAGACCTACTTAAATATACACATGCAACATAAATAATATGCAGAAAAAATGTGCAGAACAAAAGAGAAGAAAGTCACCCATCGTGCTCCCCACCTGAGCATAGCTCTTTTTAGGTCAGTGCAGTTTTCCTTCAAGCCTTTTCCTGTCTGCCTTTACGTTTTCTGTAGCGGTAATTACTGTCCTCCAAGCAATCATGTAATTGACCCTTCCTCTCCATGCTTTACCAAACATTTTCCATGTTTTACATTCAGCTTCTGTAATGACCATTTTGAAAAACTGCCTCCAAAGCTACCTCATGGATGGGCCATAATAATTTACTAAATCACTCTTTTATTGTTGGCTTGATCATTTTCCTTTTTAAAATCAGCAGCCCCTTTTTCTTACTCTTGGCTGTTCATGGTTTATGCCATTAACTTAAGTGGTAGCCCAGAGAGGCAGCAGTTTTGACAGAGGCTTAAAAGCTGGCATTTGGAAGGTGACCTCTTAGACCCTATCCTACCACTTCCTCCCTACTTCTAGTCTGCTAGCAAGTCCTGCAGCTTTTAAGGTCACAGTCAGGGCTCACATTTAGCCTTTCCTTTCCAGCCACGCTGCACCTACCTGGGGCGGGCCCGTACTGTCTCTTCCCTGCTACTGGCCTGCTACTGCCTTCTGACTGTCAACCACCCCCAAATACACATTGCTGTCAGTGGCTTTTCCTCATCAATCAAGTCCAAACCCCAAAATACAGTACTGAAGACCCGTAGACTCCTTTACTGTATAGGGCAGCCAAAAGGGCACCACTGTTCTGGAACCAGGGGTTGTTTCCCTTGTGTCCCCTGTGTATGCTCTTGGCTCCACCCCTTTCCAGGTGGGTGGGGACGTGGCAGGAGTTTCTCCATCTCTGTCCTTTCAGTGCACAGCACAGTTCAAAAGTTTTAAAGAAGTTCTCCTTGCTTGCTTTTTTTTTTTTAAAAAGATTTATTTATTCATGCATATAAGAACTGGGGTACAGGCCAGATGAGCAGGAGGATGAGAGGATTCACCAGAGACAGAGTGGGGAACGGAACAGGCAGGTTGACTGAAATACACTGCTGAGGGGAGCAGCGGGCGAGTCAGGAGAGGTCTGCTGCGCCACGTGGATAACTTCCTGGCTGGGGATCGAACTTGTGCTGCAGAGGCTGCGGATAGCTTCACAGTGCTGTGCTTAACCCCTTGTGCCGCCAGGGAGGCCTCTCCTTGCTTGTTGGTTTGATGTGTATACTAGTCTTTCACCTTATAGCTTGCCTACTAAATCCGGTCACACTTGCAGTCTCAAACCACCAAGTTCTAAGCTCTTCAAGGCACAAGTCCCTGACCAGATTGCCTGCACTACCTACATTCATCCTTAGAATACAGTGGGAGCTCAATAAGTGTGTTCCTGGCTTGAACTGAGTGGAATTGGAAGAATCCAAGGGGAGGGGAGATGATGATAAACAATGAGCTATAGAGGGCGCTATACTAATTGCCTTGACTAAATCAAAATGCTGAGATAGAGACCATGTTCTAACTGGAATGTTCCCTTTTAGTCGGGATAGAAGGGAAAGGGAGGATTCAGAGTCGTGTTCACTGCAGGAACACCTCTGGTAGACCCTTGGTCGCTGGACGTTATGATGCCCCAGGCCAGATGGCTTGCCTGTTTATACCTCCTGCCTGGGAACCGTGACAAAAAAAGCAGGTGCAAGAAACAACAACTTTTTATTCCTCTCCCCTCTCTTTTCCAGCTCAATCAGTATCAAAAGTGGCAAATCTCAGTGGGAAAAACCCAAGTTTAAACAGTGCAAATTGCTCCAAGGACTTCCAGATAGGATTATGGATCTCGCTAATATTACTATAAGTGATGGTAAGACTGGTTTTGGCCACATTAGAGAAAAAGTGAAACTCGGGTTAATTTGTCTACTCTGACCTGAGACAAGAAAGTAGACAGTCAAAGCTCAGGTAGGAAAATCTACCTTACAACAATGCAGTTTCAGAAACTCCGGAGTTAATGGTGGTGGTGAGGCATGAAAACTTAAGACTCTTCGTGGTTTTATTTGTTTTAGAATTTTTTTGATTTTATAATGTTTAGACAAGTATTCTTTTTCATTTTATTTTAATGTTTAAAAAGTTTTAATAGATAACACTTCATATACTTCAATATTAAAAATAAGTGCCCAAAGATAGAGGACTGGATAGGAAGATGTGGTCTATATACACGATGGAATACTACTTGGCTCTAAGCAAGAAAAGTTCTTAGCATTTGAAACAACGTGAATGAAACTGGAGGGAATGGCACTAAGGGAAATAAGTCAGAAAGACAAATACTGGATGGTGTCAGTTATAGGTGGAATATAGAGGAACAAAACAAAGGGTGGATAAAACCAAAGCAAAAACAAACCCTAGAAATCTGTAGAACCGATGCTGCCACTAGAGGTGTGTGTGTGTGTGGGGGGGGGGAGGCGTGAGAGGGGAGAACAAAACAGGGAAGGAGCACAGTGGAATATGATGGAGGACTGTGGGTGTCTGGGTGGTAGGTGTTGGATGGTAACAACACCTGAAGGGGGTGATCCTATCCCTCTAACTCGTATAGAATATTGTAAACCAATGTTACCTTAATATAAAAATAAATAATTAAAAGGAAAAACATTAAATCAACAGAGAAGAGAATAAAAGGACAAACAGTGAAACCACTCCTCACCACTGCTGACCCAGCCATTCAGTTCCTATGCACAGAGATATTTATGCATCTACAAGGAGCTATAGATTTTAGAAATATATTATATATACATATATATTTTCTCCCTTTTTGTACACAAAGTGAAACATGCTATACATGCTGTTTTGTTCATTTAGTAGTACAGTATAGAAATTATATTTTTATATAAAGAGCTTCATCATTTGGGCCTCCCCGGTGGCGCAGTGGTTGAGCGCTGGGTTGCGAAGCTGCCGGCGACCTCTGCGGCGCCGGTTCGATCCCCGGCTGCTCCCCGGACACCGGAGGAGGGTCCCACATGGCGCGCAGACCTCTCCTGCCGCCCGCTGCTCCCCTCAGCGGTGTGCTTCGGTCCTTCTGCCTGCTCTGCTCCCCGCTCTGGCTCTGGTGAATTCTCTCGCCCTCCCGCGCTTCTGACTGTACCCAGTGCATGTATAAACAAAACAAACAAACAAATAAAATAAATAAATAAAACATGCCTCTATTAAAAAAAAAAAAAAAAAGAGCTTCATCATTCTTTTTTCCACTGCATTGTATAATACTGCATGGGAGTGCCATAATTTATTTCTTTAGCCTGATTCCTATGGATGGGTATTTAAGTTGTTGATAACATTTTGTTTTAAAAAAACTGTTGTAATGGATAGGGTACACATGTCATTTATACTTGAAGCATAAATTCCTAAGAGTGGAATTGCTGCATCAGTCCTGCTTTTGATGGTGTCAGAATGCTCTCTGTAATCATTGCCCCAATTTATACTCCCACTTTGCAAGGTATGAAAGTGCCGGTTTCTGAACACATTCATCAACACAGCATGTTATCAGACATTTGGATCTTTGGTGATTTGATAAGCAGAAATTGATATCTAAATGTAGTTTGAAATTTTGTACAGAGATATTCACACATCATTAAATCCACTCATTTAATGTATACATTTCCGTGGCTTTAGTATGCTCACGAGGTTGTACAACCATCATCACAAATTCAGGAACATTTTAATTATTTCAGAAAGAAACCCCTTACACATTAGCAGTCACTCTCCATTCGTTTGTCTCCCCAACCCCTGGAAACCTCTAATCTACCTTCTTTTCATAATTTTGTCTTATTGTAGTAAGAGGACTTATTGTAGTAAGAGTTCTACTGTCTTGACAATTTTTTAGTAATACATTACTATTGAGTCGAGGTACTCAATATTGTAAGCAGATCTCTAGAACTTACTCATATTGTTTACCCAAAGCTTTATGGTGTTGATAAGTAACTCCCCCAGTCCCTGGCAACAATCTTTCATTCTGTGCCTCTGTACATTTGATTATTTTAGATACCATGTTCTGTGTGAGATCATGTAGTATTTATCTTCGTGTGTCTGGTTTATTTCACTTAGCATAATGCTCCCAGGTGCATTCATGTTCTTGCAAATGGCAGGATTTTCTTCTTTTTAAAGGCTGAATAATATTTCATTGTGTGTGTATGTATGTATATCTATTATATGTATCATTTTTGTTAGCTATTCCTAATCATCTCTCCATAGACACTTAGGTTGTTTCCGTATCTTCACCATTAGGAATAATGCTGCAATGAACATCAGAGTGTAGATTCTTATTCAATATAGTGTTTTTATTTACTTTGGTTATACACCCACAGTTGAGATTCTACATCCTATGGTAGCTCTATATTTAAATTTTTTGAGGAACCTCCATATTGTTGTCTATAATGGCTCTATCAATTTACATTTCCCCCACAGTCACAAGGGTGACTCTACCAATTTACATTTCCTCCACAGTCAAAAGGGTTCCCTTTTCTCCACACCCTTGCCAGCTCTTGTAATCTCTTGATTTCTGTTCATGGCCATCATGCTAGTTATAAACTGATAGCTCATGGTTTTGGTTTCCAGCTCCCTGATGATTACTGATTTTGGCCACCTTTTCATATATTTATTGACCTCATGTGTATCTTTTTTTGATAAATGTCTGTTTAAGTCCTTGGCCCTCCCTCCTTTTTTTTTTTTGTTATTGAGTTGTAGGAGTTCTTTGCATATCTGGAAATTAGCCCCTTATCAGATTTATAGTTTGAAAATATTTTCTTCTGTTGTCTTTCGCTCTGTTAATTGTTCCTTTTGCTGTAAGAAGTTTTTTTGTTTGTTTTTTGATGTAGTCCTACTTGTTTATTTTTGTTCTTGCTGCTTATGCTTTTGGTGTCATATCCATGAAACCATTGCCAAGATCAATGTCATGAAGCTTTTCTCCTATATTTTCTTCTAGGAGTTTAAGAGTTTCGGGTCTTAGATTTCAGTCTTAAGTCCATTTTGAGTTGATTTTTGTATATGGTGTAAGGGTATGATTTCACTCTTTTGCATATGACTATCCAATTTTTCCACCACCATTTGTTGAAGAAACTATCCTTTCCCCTTGGTACTTTTGCCAAAGGTCTGTTGATGGTATATGTGTGGATTTATTTCTGGGCTCTCTGCTTTGTTCCATTGGTTTATATGTTTTTCTTCATACCAGTACCACATTGTTTTGATTACTGTAGCTTTGTAATACACCTCAATATCAAGGCTTCTGATGTCTCTGTTCTTTTTTGAGGCAGTTTTAGCTATCCAAGGTCTTTTGTGTTTGCCACATGAATTTTAGAATTGTTTGTTCTATGTATATAAAATTACCAAGACTAGTTCAGTGGTTAGGCTAGTTTACTGAAGTCTATTTCCCCTACAATATAAATCCTCTGAAGCTACTTCTTAGAAGATGCTACCTTGGGCATGGGCATATTTTCCCTGACCACCAAGGATGTCTGTGGTCCTAGCTGGGTTCTCTCTGATTATCTTTTTCTTCTGATCTGTCTGCTAAGCTTCTGGCTGGTCTGCCTCTGTTGGTATCACTCCCAGCTCTTAGCCTCCTAATTGCCAGTTGATTGTTTTGCCATTTTTGAAAAAAGTGCTCTATAGTCTTGTCCAATTACTATCTGCCCCCTAGCCAGGGGCAGGATATTGCCAATATTTGAATCTTTCTCTGAGCAGAATATCTGTCCTATGATGCATGAGCTTAGTGGGTGGTGATGGTGGTGAATATGCTCTTCACCAGGGTCTTCGCTATGGAGGAGGAGCTGGGTGTGTATTTGGCGAGAGGGAGGACTTATTGCTGGCCCGCAGTTGCTGCCACTGCTCAGTGTGAACATTGATTTGATAGCTCAGAGTTAGAAAGATGGAAACTGTGAAAGTCCACTGGCTCTCAAATTCACCCGAAGAGTTCTTCTACCTCAGGGACTTGGGGGAGATGGTAACTGCCACTGGGTTGTCTATAGTGATGGAACAATTCTTCCAGCAGGCAGAGCTGTGAGGGATAGGCAGACTTCCTAGCTCAAATATAATGGCTTTCTACACAACTTACCAAGGTTTTGTAGATTTTGTTGAATAAATGTGTCTCAATTTATTGTTAACCCTCCCATCCATCATCTCCTGAGACGTTCAATGATTGTGTCTGTTAATTTTGACCGGTGTGGTAGGTTTCATTCTTGGTGAACTTTCCCCCATGTCCCTCCTCACAGCACTGCTCTGAAAGTCTAGTCCCTCCTTATTAGTACTTTTTAAAGTACACATAAGGTTTTCCTCATCAAATTTCAGTTCATGCACATGCTGTCAGACATGGCTTTACTGCACAAAATGGGTCCCCGTCATCATGCAAAATTGGAAAGTGAGGTACAGGGGTTCCAGTGCCTTCTAGAACAGCCAGGGAATTGCCTTGAGGTCATGAACTTTTCAGACTTGTCTTCCTTGCAGAAGATGTAACTTTCAGATCCTTGCAAAGGAATAACTAAGAATAATTGGAACAATAAGCACATGCTTGATGGCTTCTAGATCTGAAATCATGATCCAGGGCAACTGAAGATGTTGCAGCTTGAAGCGAGTGGGAGCAAGACAGAGAGGCCGGTGCTTCATGTTGACCTTCCTGAGTGACATATATTTTTTTAAGACATGCTAATAAATTTTTCTCTGTGGAAGAAAAAATTAACAAACAACTATGACAACAACAAAAACACTGCACTGGCTTAGGGTTTTTAGAAAATTAACTGTCAGGAGTCATTAATTAGAAACAAATCTACCGCACAGGAAGAGATCTGTTAGATGGTGACTGTAGTGCATATAACTGGATCCCTGTAAACAGTTCTGGATCTCCCATTTACAACATAACCAGAACAATTTATTAAGAACAGAGGAAAGATCTGTGAAAGAGAACACTACATTTTTCTTCCATCCCTAATCTTACTGTTTTCTTGGTTTCTTTAACTGACCAGAGGTAGATGTACAGAGGACAGAATATTATTTTAGAAGTAATTCCAACCCAGTTCAATCTCCCCCGTTTGTCCATCTCTTCCTTCCATATCCAGTCTGCCCCCCTCTATTCTTCCTGGAGAGAATTCTCTTGGCTGACTTGATGGTTAGGTAAGACCTGGTTGGGCAGATTGGGGTAATGACATTGCCAAGGACAGAAGTGTTAAACAAAAATTAACCTGTGCAGACTCTATTGGGGGTGAAGTTGTGGAGGGCTTGGGAAAGAAGAGACAGATTTGGGGGGAGTTGTTGCCAACTGGAGAGGACATTGAAGGAGAGGGAGAAGTACAGGCAGGGTGGGTGGAGAGAAGTTCATGCTGAATTGTTTTGTTTTCCCAAACAGAAGTGGTTATTTATAATGTAACGGGGGAAGTGTGTTATAAGTGGGCTCTCTTTGGAAAATTTTCAACAGATTGTATTTTTCAATTATTTTCCATTCTGTTTTGGTTATTGAACTTGAATGTGAGTGCTTTACACTTAGGAGGGCACCACAGGGGTACTCAGCTTTATATAGGTCATTTGAGCTAAAATTTTATTTGTGTTATATTTAGTTACAAAGCTCTGAATTATGAAAGTGGGTGAAGATTCAAATAATGTATTTAAAAAAAAAGCACTTATAAGACAAGAAAATTTGAACACTGGATAGTTGATGGCTTTGAATATTATTGCTAACTTGTAAAAATAAGATATCATCTGTGGTTATGACAGAGGTTTTTTTGTTTTAGAGATACATACTGAAGTATTTTTGGGTGAGATGATATGATGTCTGGGGTTTGCTTTAAAATAATCTGGGGTTAGGGAAGGTGGGTGGGAGTGTAGATAAAATAAGATTATCTCTTCATTGACACTTGTTGAAGCTGTGATTCATGAGGTACATGGGGATTCATTATACTATTCTTTCTACTTTTGTGCATGTTTGAAAATTTCCATAATAAAAGTGAGGAAAAAGTGGGCGAGCTAATATCTATTGTTCTTACTCTACAAAAATCTAAAGTAAGTTCCTTTTTATCGTTCATCCATATTTGCTTTTTCCCCCCATGAACTGCTAGTACTTGACAGAAAAACATGATCACCACCCTGGATTCAGAAAACATAGACTGAATGTTTGCTGATATTTGAGTATAGGTGGGATCTACTTAACTCAATACACTGCTCAAAAGTCTTAACTCAATTAGAATCTAATTGCAAGATAATTCTTCAGTGACAAAAAGGTTCCCTGGTGTATTTAATTTTTTTTTTGTAATGAATAAAAACTTGACTTATGTGCTACTTTACGGTGCTCCATCTATTGTAGAAATGCTGAGGCCCAGCATTTTTCTTTTGCAAACTTTGTTACCTTGGTATATTTTTCTATTTCATTGCCTTTACTTTTTAAAGGGAAGGAAGCAGCAGCAAGGTCCAAAGCTGAATAATGCAGGTTTTATATTTCAATTTTGTTTCCTCAGAGAATGCGGAAGAGGTTGCAGAGCACATTTTAAATTTGATAAATGAATCCCCCCCTCTGGATAAAGACGAAATAAAGATTATTGTTTCTAAAGTATCTGACATTTCATACTGTGATGAGATAAGTATGAACCTAACCCAGACTATATTGCAAATAATCAGTGCTTCTTTGGGAGAGCAGCACGGTTCTGCATCTGAGCTGCACGAAGTAAGCAATGAGTAAGTACTAATGCTTTGGAAAAATAATTTCATAAAATTAAAAAATATGCATTATTAATTCCTTTCCATACAGTCTCCACCAATATTAAAGGTATGGCACTGTACTTATTTTTAATTCCTTAAATATTCCTGGAATCCAACCACTTCTCCCCAGCTCCACTGCTGCCACCCTAGTCCTAGGCCCATTTCTGTCACCTGACCTTCCACAGTAACCTCCTGTCTGCCTCTGCCCTTGCCTTTCTGTGGTCCGTCTTCTACACAGCAGACACAATTGACTTTTTTTAAAAAAAAGATTTATTTATTTATGCATACAAGAACTGGGGTATAAGCCAGAGGTGTGGGGGGTGGTGTGAGAGGATTCACCAGAGACAAAGTGGGGAACAAAACAGGCAGATTGACCAAAGTACACTGCTAAGGGGAGCAACGGGCGAGTCAGTAGGTCCACTGCGCCTTGTGGGTAGCTCTCTGGCCGGCTGGGGATCGAGCTTGTGCTACAGAAGCTGCAGACAGCTTCATAGGTTATGTCTTAACCCGTTGTGCCACCAGAGGGCCAAAAATGACCTTTTATTGCACACAGCAAGTCCGCAATGTCAACAGGTTTTTGGAACTGCTACTCTGACTGAAACAACATCTAACAAGAGCAGGTCCTCTATTAATGCTGTTTGCTTAACGTCTGTTGGGATTGTTTTTTCTCATTGATGTTATAATGAAATGACACTGAACAAAACAATGTTATTCGAGGCCCTGCAGTGTATTGGATCATGTTATTTGCTTGCTTTTAAAACCACTCAGTGGCTTTCTGTTACATGGCGAATGAAATCCAAATTTCTTGTCCTGTGAGGTCCTGCAGTATCTTGCTTTACAGACAACACTTTTTCTTAATCTTTAAACAATCTTTGGAGACAAGGGCTAGTATTATCTATGACCTTACAGGTGAGGAAACTGAAGCTCAAAGAGATTTTTTTCATCTCCTTTGGAGTTAGAAATTAGAGGGGCTAAGACTTAGACCTCAGCCTATCTGACTTCAAAGCCAGTGCTCTTACCTCATCATTCTAAACAATACGCACATAGTGATTATAACTTAGTCTTACATTGAGGAAATCTTCGAAGGAAGATGAGCTTTTCATTAAAAAGGTGAAAAATATTCTTCTCTGTCTGTGGTTCCTTGCAGGATCCTGAGGATAATCGAGCGCGTAGGTCACAAGATGGAGTTTGTTGGGAGGTCGGCAAACCTGACAGTGGCCAGGCTAGCCTTGGCTGTCCTGCGGGTGGACCACACCTTTGAAGGCATGGCTTTCAGCATTCGCTCCTACGAAGAAGGCACAGACCCTGAGGTGAGTCTGCACTCCCCTGGGAAGTGAGAGTCAGCCAAGACTGCCCCAAGTCTTCATTTATTTCCCCTTGGGGAGTTTTCCCTTCCCTGGAACTTTGGAGTAGCCGGATTGCCACACATCAGTGATGGAAGCAGCATATATCTTGTTTTGGGAAGCAATTCCCTGAGTCTGTTCACTTACCACATGGTTTATCAAGGTTGAAAGTTGGGCAGAAGCTCTGATTTCTCTTTAAGTGGTAATGCCTTATACCAGCTTTCCCCAAAATAACCTGGGTACTTATTGTCAAAGTTGATCCTGTGGTGATGCCTGCCCCCACTACCATGACTCTGGGGTGCTTCCGGTACTTGTCTGCAGAAATATAGAGTGACGTAGACTTGACCATGGCTCAAGTGGCCCTGAAGTTTTCTGGTCTTCTTCTGTCTGGATGGCGTGTTAGCAGCCAGGTGAAAGAAAATTGTTTTGCTTTTTAGATGCCTTTATTTGATTGAGGAGGTTACTTTCTGTTTCTAGTTTGCTGAAAAATATTATTGTGGATGGTTGTTGATTTTGCCGAATCTTTTTGTGTCTTGTGAAGTAATGATTTGATTTTTCTCTTCCATTTTTCTATTATGATGAAATATGTTGATTTCAGAACCAACCTTGCATTTCTTGAAGAAACCCTAGCAGTCATGACGTATTATCATTCTTATATATTGTTATTTTAACTTGGTTATATTTTGCTAAGCATTTTTGCACTTATGTACATGAAAGATGTTGGACTGAAATTGTCTTTGCTTCTAATTTCTTTATCAGACTTGAAAGTTTTGCCGACTTCATAAAAGCGAGCTGGGACACAGTCGTTTGTGTAATGTTACTTCTTCATGAAGTGCTTGATAATGCTCACTAGGAAACTCTGGGTCTGGAATTCTTTGTGGGAAGCATTTTGACAACAAATCCAATTTAGTTAATGGATATAGAGCCATTCAGATGTTCTGATTCATCTTGTGTCTGTTTTGGTTGGTTATATTTTTCTAAGAATTTATTCCATCTAACTTGTCAAGTAGGTTAGCAATAGTTGTTCATAATATTTATTTTTAATGTATGTAGGATTTATAGGTGTGGTCAGCAAACTTTTTCTCTATAAGTCGGATACTAAATATTTTAGGCTTTGTAAGTCGCAGGTGGTCTCTGTTGCATGCTCTTATTTTCTGTTATTTTTTTTCCTCCTTTGTCTTTCTTTTTGCCTTCCTTCCCTCTTTTTTCTTCCTTGCTTGCTTTCTTTTTCGTCACATCCTTTTTTTTAATTTTTTAAAAGATTTATTTATTATTTTATGCAAGCACTGGGTACAATCAGAAGCGTGGAAGGGTGAGAGAATTCACCAGAGTCAGAGCGGGGAGCAGAGCAGGCAGACTGACGAAATACACTGCTGAAGGGAGCAGTGGCAGGAGAGGTCTTTTGCGCCATATGGGGCCCTCACCGGCAGCCGGGGATCGAACTGGCACTGCAGAGGCTGCAGGCAGCTTTGCAGCCCAGTGCTCAACCGCTGCGCCATCAGGGAGGCCCTCGTCACACCCTTTTTAAATGGAGATGCAAAAAAGTCTTTGCTAGCTCAAGGCATAGGACTTTGGTAGGACTTGGCCTACTAACCAGTTTGCCAGTCTATGATCTGTAGTGATAATCTTTCTTTCATTCTTGATACTGGTCATTCCTTTTTTTTCCTGATCAATGTAGTTAGGGGTTTTTAAAATTTATTGATCCTTTCCAACAACCAACATTGGCTTTGTTACTTTATTGTTTGTTTTTATGTCTTTGTTGATATCTGCGCTTATCTTTATTTCCTTCTTCGGGTTTACTTTGTTTTTCTTTAGCTAGCTTCTTCTTTTTTCTTTTTTTTAAAGTTCTTTTTTTTTTTAAAGATTTATTTATTTTTATACAAGAGCTGGGGTACAGGCCAGAGGTGTGGGAGGGTGAGAAGATTCACCAGAGACAGAGCGGGGAGCAGAACAGGCAGACGACAGAAATACACTGGTGAGGGGAGCAGTGGGCGAGACAGGAGAGGTCTGCCGCGCCATGTGGGATTCTCGCCAGCTTGGCTGGGATCGAACCTGCACTGCCTAGGCTGTGGACAGCTTCACACACAGCGCTCAACCCACTGCGCCACTGGGGAGGCCCTAGCTAGCTTCTTGAGGTGGATGCATAGGTCATTGATTTTAGACCATTCTTCTTTTCTGATATAATCATAAAAAAATATAAATCTCCCTGTAAGCATTGCCTTAGTTGCAGTCCACAAACTTCAATGTGTTGCATTTTCATGATTAGTCACTTCAAAATGTTTTCTACTTTCCTTTCTGACCTGGCAGTATTTTCTTTATATCCCAAATATTTTTTTGGGCAGGTGGGGTGGAATTTAAGATATTTTATTTTTATTGATTTCTTGTTTATTTCATTTTGGCCACAGAAAATACTCAGTATAATTTCAGTCCATTTAAATTTATTCAGACTTGTTTTATCATCCAGTGTATGATCTATTTTGATATTTTATTTTTTATTTCTTTTTAAATAAATTGGCATCCTTAGGCAACTTATTCAGTTCTCTTTTTTTTAATTAATTAATTTATTTATACAAGCACTGGGTACAGTCAGAAGCGCGGGAGGGTGAGAGATTTCACCAGAGCCAGAGTGGGGAATAGAACAAGGAAGTACACTGCTGAGGGGAGCAGCGGGCGGCAGGAGAGGTCTGCGCGCCATGTGGGACCCTTGCCCTGTGGCCGGGGATTGTACCGGTGCTGCAGAGGCTGCGGGCAGCTTTGCAACCCAGCGCTCAACCACTGCGCCACCAGGGAGGCCCTCTATTTTGATATTTTATATACTTGAGAAACTTGGTATCTCATGTGCTCTTGAAAAAATGTGCATTGTACCATTGTTGAATATGTTGAACTATAAATGTTAATTAAGTCTCAAGGTGGTTGATAAGGGTCTCAGATTTTAGTTTACAGGATTGTTAAAGTCTCTAACTTTGTGAAATTATCTATTTCTCTATAGTCCTGTTAAATTTTGCCTTTTTTTATTTTGGGAGCTCTATTATTAAGTAAATACACATTTATGTTGCTATGTCCTTTTAATACTAACTCTTATCTTAACCTACTTATCATTTTGAAAAAGCCCTCTTTGTTTCTGGTATTTGTTTCTCTTTGTCTTGCAGTATGTTTATCCAATTTTGATATGTCATTCTGGTCCTCTTATGCTTAGTGTTTAATATATATATATATATATATATCTCAGTACTTTATAATTATCTGTGTCTTCTTACTCAAAGTGCACTTCTTTTAGATAGCTTATAGTTTGTATTTCACCTTTTATCCATCCTCTAAATGTTATGATCATTGTTTTTTAAAGTTCTATGAAATTGAGATAAAATTAGTCCTTTATGTTTACCTAGATATTTATCATTTTCAATGCTCTTCATTCCATCCTGAAGGTCAGCTTCCATCTGATAACATTTCCTTTCAACTTCAAGAGCTTCATTTAGCAATTTTTATAGTATAAGTTCTGGTGGTGATACAATTTCTTTTCACATATCTGAAAATGTCTTTATTTTGCCTTTATTATTGGAGGATATTTTTGTTTATTATAGAATTGACAGTGTTTTCCCCAACATTTAAAATATGGTATTCTAGTCTTTTCTGACTTCTGTGTTTTCAGAGGAGAAATCAATAATCATTATTATTTGAATTTTTGTTTCTGCTTGTGATGTGTAGTACATAATTTTCCTCTGTTGGCTTTAAGTGTTTTCTTTGTGTGTGGTTTTCTTATCTTTTTTTTTTTTAAAGATTTATTTATTCATACAAGAACTGGGGTACAGGCCAGAGGTGTGGGGGGTGAGAGGACTCACCAGAGGTAGAGTGGGGAACAGAACAGGCAGACTGACTGAAATACACTGCTGAGGGGAGCAGCAGGCAAGTCAGGAGAGGTCTGCTGCACCATGTGGGCAGCTCCCTGTCCAGCCGGGGGGTAGAACTCTTGCTGCAGTGGCTGCTGCTAGCGTCATAGGATGTGTTGTGTCTTAACCCCTTGCGCCACCAGGGAGGCCCGGTTTTCTTTGCAGTTTGACTTTTTTCTTTTTCTTTCTTTCCACCCCCCCAACCAGTTTGACTGTTATTATGTGCCTAGGCATGTTTTTCTTTGTATTTATCCTCCTTGAGCTTTGTTGAGCATCTTGCATCAATGAATTTATGTTTTTTTTGCCAAATTTGGGAAGATTTCTACCATTATTTCTTCACATATTGCTTCTTCTCTATTCTTTCCTCTTCTTTTGGGACTCTAATGATATGTATGTAAGATTTTTGGTACTGCTTCATAGGATCCTGAAACTCTGCCCATGTTTTTAATCATTTTGCTATCTATTCTTCTGACAGCATAATTTTTTAAAGATTTATTTTTATTTATTTATGCATAGAAGAACTGGGGTGTAGGCCAGAAGTGCAGGGGTGGAGAGGATTCACCAGTGACAGAGTGGGGAGCAGAACAGGCAGATCTACTGAAGACTGGCCTTTATTTCTGAGCATCATGACAAATCACCTAACCTGTCATTCCCCTTTCCACCTTTCTGAACATCCAGGTGGAAGCAAATCAAAGGGAGAGGAAGTCAAGGACTGGTTTAGAAAGGAAAAGCTGGTGTGTGTGTGTGTGTGTGTGTGTCTATTGCATCAGGTTCAGGTGTGATTTTTACTCTGTGCGAGTGTGTGTATGTCTGTTGCATCAGGGTCAGTGTGATTTTTTACTCTGTGTCTGTGTGTATAAAGGTGCAGCATGTGGAGCTGGTCTTCCATCTTTAGCCTCCATGTGACACTCCTGGGCTGAGACTGGGACTTGGGTGGGAGATGGGACAGACTTCAGCGTGACAGGTGGCGATCCCAGTTTTCATTTCCTGGTTTTTCTTGGCAGATTTACCTAGGCGATGTCCCTCTGGAGAGGGTTTTGGCATCCATATACTTGCCTAAATCACTGAAAAAGAGAATTCCTCTTAGCAACTTACGGACCATCTTATTTAATTTCTTTGGTCAAACTTCACTCTTTAAGGTAAGTTCTTGCTTCTGGTAACTGTCGTGGACTGAAATATGGTGACTCATTGTAATTGTGATCTCTTGCCATTTTCATGATGTTCTATTTATTTTAGAATATGCTTTCTGGTTTCTTCCACAAGTCTCTCAGCACAACCCCTGGCCCTCAACATGAATCAACGTTTACTTTAATTATGCTCCACCGTTTTTAATTTTCACAGCTTCTCAGCTTTGGAAGGGACATTAAGGATTGTCTGGTGACCAACAGAGGTCTCAAGATGTTTTAAAATCATAAAAGAACAGTGAGTTCTGATGAAATGCCATTCAGCACGTCAGCTTTTTTTTTTCCTGAATCTCTCCAGGCTCCTCAAAGCCTATGTGCCCACTCTCAGGGGCCAATTTATTTGCAGCTGAGTGATATTCAGTAGGACACTGACCTACAAGCATTTGCTGCTCCTTCCCACCGCCTCCACAGAAACTTCCCTGATGTGCCCAGTCCTCACCCACTGTTGCGACAGGGAGGCAGTGTGATGTGAGTGAGGAGACAGCGTTTAAAGCTTGCTTTGCCATTGTGTGAGCTTGGGAAAGTCCCTCACACTCCATGCACCTTGGTTTCCTCCTGTATGAAATAGGGCTGTTGAAGGGTGAAAGGAGTTAACATGTAGAAAGTGATTAGAATACCTGGCACATAAGTATCATGTGACTATGCATTGCTATTATTCTCCCACCCGGAGGCTTTGCCTAACAAAGGCTCAGTCGTTCTGGGCCTCCCCGGTGGTGCAGCGGTTGAGCGCTGGGCTGCGAAGCTGCCCACAGCCTCTGCAGCGCCAGTTCAATCCCCGGCCGCCAGCAAGGGTCCCACATGGAGCGCAGACCTCTCCTGCCGCACCTGCTGTTCCCCTCAGCAGTGTACTTCGGTCCTTCTGCCTGTTTTGCTCCCTGCTCTGGCTCTGGTGAATTCTCTCACCCTCCCGCGCTTCTGACTGTACCCAGTGCTTGTATAAATAAATAGATAAATCTTTAAAAAACAAAACAAAAAAACAAAACAAAGGCTTAGTCCTTCAGCCCTGTCCCACTGAGCTGTTGGCAAGACAGTGATCAGAGTTTGCATAAAGTTGTAGATGGTGATTGTTAGTGATTGTTAATATTTGTATTTACCTTATTTGTTTCTCATGAGAAACCAAGACTCAAAGAGTTTGATATTGGAGTGTTTGTGTTCCCCTAAAATTCATGCGGTGAAATTTTCACTCCCAAGGTGATGATTTTTGGAGGTGGGGTCTTAGGGAGGTAATTAGGTCATGGAGGTAGAACTCTCATGAGTGGGATCAGTGCCTTATAAATGAGACCCCAGAGAACTTACTTTCTTTCCACCACATGAGGACACAGCAAGAAGGCACCACCTATGAACCAAAAAGCAGGCCTTCACCAGAACATGACCATATGGGTACCCTGACCTTAGACTTCTAGCCTCCAGGACTGTGAGAAGTAAATTTCTGTTGTTTATGAGCTATCCAGTCTATGGTATTTTGTTACAACAGCCTGAAAACCCTAAGACAAAGAGGTTAAGTGACTTTGCCCATGATCAAAGAGTTAGGAATTAGAATAGCTTGGGTCAAACCCAGGCTCTTTGACTCTAAAGTTTCAGTGTTTGAGAGATCAGTACATTAACTTGTCTGAACGTGTTTGTATGTTCTAAAGAGACTGTCCAAAGGAATGAACTTCTAATGGTCAAATATTCGGAGTTATTTTGGGGGAGGTGATACTGGGCCAACTTAAATATATGACATATCCTCCCAGCATACCAAACTCAAATATACCACATTATCTCTAGCTGTGTCTATAGCACATTCTATTCTCTAGCTACTGCCTCATCCATGTATCTCTCTCTCTCTCTCTCTCTCTCTCTCTCTCTCTCTCTCTATCTAAATTCTATTTGTTACTATGGATTTAACTCCCATCCCACCCAGGAAGCCTGCCTGGAGTCTGTAGTCCTTGTCCTCTTCCCCATCCCCTGCTTGTATTCTTTTCTTACACCTTTGCCTAGTTTGTAGACTGCTCTCCCCAAATGGGTTGTGGCCTATGTCTCAGCTCAGTCATGTTTTACTTTCACCACACCCAGCACAGGGCTGGGTACCCATCAAGTTTTCAGTAGGTGTGTACTTAATAGACTCCTTTTTATGGAGAAAATTAGGTTGGGAACAATAATTTTAATAAAAATTAACAATGTGATTCATAGTAGCAGAGCGTTTTGGTAGGCTTATTTCTCTGCATCATCTGAGATGTCATTATTTTGGTCTCAATCTCTCACCTTTCTTCTGAGACCTGCATTTGTCTCATAAAATAAAAGATAAACTTGTTTTGCATAGATTTCACACATAATAAGTAATTTTTATTCACTAACATCTTCCACTGAAAGGGATTAAAGATCTTGCCAAAATTAGACTACAGACGTCATAGCGCCAGATGAAGAACTAGACTGCCATCAAGTTCAGAGACAGAAAGGTCCTCGTAACTTGTATTGTCCCATCACCTCATTTTACCAGTAAGGAAATTGAGACCCATAGAAAGGAAGGAACATACTGGAGGTGATACAGTTTATCCATTTATTCATGCAGCTATTTATTCATTCAGCAAATACTGATTGAACTCCTACTGTGTGTCCTTGGCCGGGGTGCCGGGTGTTGGGCATCTGAGAGTGAGCAGGAGGGAACTTGCAATCTGATGGGAGAGAACAGAGACCTCAAATTTCTAACTTTGGAGGGGGATGACTTGAGGTTGGGGCCTGTGCCACTGGTTGTTGGGGAGTGAGGGCTTTAATGAGATGTCACCCTTCAACAACCTCCCCTGCCACCAGTCCCGAGTCTCACAGCCTGGCTTTCACGTGACACCCTTGAACATCTTTTGATCAAAATTTTAGCTATCATTACAACATATTCCTTCAAAATCCTTGACAGGACGCGTCTCTTTGAAAACACTTACCTCCTTCTCCACCCCTCCGCTAGAGACACTTCTCAGGGAGAAGGACAAACACTTGGCAGGGGGCATGTGGCACAGGGAACTCAGAGCGTCCTCGTCTGGGAGATCAGGAAAACACAGCATGACAGAGGTGTCTGCCGACACCCCAGACAGTAAGAGCTAGAAGAAGGAAAAGAGTGAGAAGAGAAGAGTTTTCCAGGCAGGCAGGGCAGCTTCTGTAAAGGTTTAGAGGTGAAATAGATACAATTCAAACCTAGAGAGCAAAGGGTAGAGGAGTGAGAAATGATTTAGTTCCTGTCCCTGCACGGCCACCATTTTGTGGGAAAGAAAAATAAAGCCAGAAAACAGTTTAATCAAGTCCTGGGTCACTGTGTTTCTCCTCCTTTGGCGTTTCCATTCCAGAAAATCGTCTTTTAGACTCAGTTCTGAGGGTTGTTAGATATCATCTGATCCACCTTCCATCATGTCCAGTAACCCAGAAAGCAGAGGGAAGGGACTTTCAGGGAACAAAAAGGCTCGGATTTGCGCTTGGTCTTTTGACTGTCAGCCTGGGCCGTTTCCATCATGTCTTGCTATAGTTGGTCAGGAACAGGCCGTGAGTAGCTTGGTGAAGCCCCAGGTTGCATTCACAATCACCCACTTCTCAGCAGCTACACACTGAGGTGGGGTAGGGAGTGGAAGCTGTGCACTGTTCTTTCAAAAATAAGGTGGTGTGGCATGTTCTGGAAGTGACGGGCAGGTTCCACTAGGACATCATCTGGGCTCACTGTGACCTCTGGGGTTTCTTGGCAAGTCCTCAGAGTATTTGCTTTGTCTCCTTCCTGTCTTATACCTGCCTCATCTCTTGTCTCTTCCTGGGCACCCAAAGAGGCAGTCTCCTGGTTGGCATGCCTCCTGGAACCTTGACCTGTGGCATTTTGACCATGTTAATCAGGAAACTCTTGATGGCTGCTTTTTCGTTTGTTTCCTTCAAACCAACATTTCTTAAGTATCCCTGCTCTATCATTTACTAGTTGGGTGAACTTTGTCCAAATTTTTGAGCTTCTCCAAGCTTTAGTTTATCTGGAAAAGGCCTATATTATTTCAGTGAGGACTGAAGATAGTGTATGTGGAAAGCACTTAACAAAGCAACTGGGTACAAGATAAGATTCCTCATGCGTGCTAGGCCATGGGGGTGACATCAGGGTACGCAATGTCTGGGCTTTGATCTCAGAGTTCATGGTCTCTGAAGGAGACAGCTGTCCTCAGAGACTTGTTCTAAGCTGGTTGTTGAGCACCTTGCTTCCATCTCCAGTGAGGAAGGCACAGGAAGTGGCTTATAACTAACCCATGACCAATTCATGTTCCTTATAAGGAGGGCCTTGAGGGTCAGACCTGGGATAGGCTTGAGTTGTCTGGGTCCAGAGGGTAATCAATGTAGGAATTAGCTTCACTTTGTTCCTAGTGTGGCGCTGAGTAGTAGGTACAAAATCAATGCTTGTTGGATAGGTATTTGGATATATATGAATAAATGGATTGTTCTGGCTTGGTGTATTTGAGACCTATTTTGAAGACCGGAGATGAGCTAAATGGCTTCTCAAAAGTCCGTCTCAGTTTGTGATTTTGTGTTCCATATTTCTGGAACTAATGCTGTACAGCAGTACTTCAGAATTCTAGCTTCATTATGAACATGTAAGAAATTAGAAATTTTGGATGTGAATTCCTCTTCCTTGTGTATTTCATCTACAGGTCAACAATGCCATGAAAGCATTAACCACCTATGTTGTGAGTGCCAGCATTTCCAATATGTCCATTCAAAACTTGGCCGACCCGGTGGTGGTCACTCTGCAGCACATTGGAGGGAACCGGGTAACATATCCATTGTCATCTCAGAATAAAAAGGCCTCAGAACAATCCTCCATGATTTTCTTGTTAAAAATAATTGGCTAGTTTACAGATATAATTCTAAAACCTAATGAAGATTGTCCTCTTCCAGGTAGCAGAGATGTGTTGTAATTGGGGCCTTCCAGAAATAATGCTTTATCCTAAAGTGATAACTAATGGTGAGCTTCTAGCTCTGTGACAAATTGGCAGGGAAGGAGTGCCCGCAGGCAGGTAGATCTTGAGGTGGTCCTATCACAGTAAATGGTATTTAATTCCATTAATTTTGTAGTGAGACTAACAACTTTCAAAATAATTGAACATTTTTGTTATTTGAATTTCCAGGAAGAGCATTAAAATGTATATTATCACCAAAGGATTAAAACTATAGTCATATGGTATAACATAAGGTCTATGTTACTAAATGATCAAATTTAGCCGTGGTATAAGAGTGAACTATTCCACTTTTTGATGTGATGTATGACCAGTGTGAAGTCTTAAGACCTTCTTCTTTGATTTCCAATTTAAAAGACCATATGGTACAGCATATTTTTCACAGGTCTTAATTCTAGAAGGGAAGAAGGGAAAGTGGGAGAGGGAATTAAAAGAAAACACAGACACTAAATGAAGCATGTTAGATGGTTAAGATTTCTCAGCTTGGACTTGGACCACAGCTCTCCAAGCATAACTCAGTAAGCAATTTCTTGTTGCCTCCAGTTCCCTGGAGATTGTAGGAGCTGGGGAAGCCTCCAGAATATTCAGTAGGCCAAATGAGGGGGAGTTCAACCTAGTATCCTTAGGACTGGTCTCGGCTGTGAGCCCCAAATTCCAAAGTTCCACCACGAGCACATCATACCTGCACTGACCATCCACAGCCCCCTCCCAGGCCTCACACCAGGAGTGCATGGCAAATTCCTATGTCCCCAAATATTTTCACCAGGTCACCATGTGGTAACATTTGTTTTCTCACTTGTAAACCCAGAGTTAGTTTTACAACATCTCACAAATTGTTCAAGTGTGTATATCCACTGTTTGAAAATACATCAAAAATAAGAACACTGTGTTAGTTATTGTGTGGTAACTCACAAGGAAGGGCGTTTACCTCAGATTTTTCTCTTTTCTAGAGTTATGGTCAAGTTCACTGTGCCTTTTGGGATTTTGGGAATAACAGTAAGTATTTTTCTTTGCTTTTCACTCTCAATGAAACTTTGCCCCTCGTTATTTTCCTGCTTTCCAGTTGGATGAGAGGGAGTGGTACTGATGCCACAGTCTTATTACCCCTACAGAGGACTCTGACCAAGATATAAAATATGAGTTTTATTTCTAATTAGGGTATATGAATTTAAAGAACCCTTCTTTTGGGTAAGGGACTTATTTGGGAAGGCAGAAAAATCCCACAACTCTGGGGTGAGCAAAGGAAGTGAGAAGACCTACTTCAGAGTCGTCACCAGCTGTTTGGGGCAAGTTGAGGGATGAGCTCTTGGCTCTTTATCTGTGCTTTTGCACAGAGGTTTGGGATGCTACTCTCTTCTTCCATTTTCTCATCTCTTCTAGACTGTATGACTGTGGGTAGTCCATTTACCCTCTTGGGACCCCTATCTTTTTTTTTTTTTTTTGCATTTTATTTTTTATTTATTTATTTTTTTTTAATAATAAATTTTATTTTTATATTCCCCCATACAATTGCAAACGCCCCATTCTGACCCCAATCCTTCCCCTCCTGCCCCCCACCCCCCAAAAAGTGTCTCTGGTTCATAGTTTTTTGTTGATTTTGATTTTCACTTTCTTGTATTCATTTTCCTGGTCCCTTATTTAAGTTTTCTAGATTCCTGCTATGAGTGAGACCATCCGGTATTTTTCTTTTTCTTTTTGGCTTATTTCGCTGAGCATGATCCCTTCCAGCGCCATCCATGTTGCTGCAAACTGCATGAGTTTATCTTTTTTGAATGCTGAGTAATATTCCATGGTATATATGTACCATATCTTCTTGATCCAGTCATCTATTTTTGGGCATTTGGGTTGTTTCCAAAGCTTAGCTATTGTAAACAGTGCTGCTATAAACATAGGGGTGCAGGTGCTCTTTGGAATTGATGTTTCTGTTTCCTTTGGGTAAATACCTAGGAGTGGAATTGCTGGATCATATGGAAGCTCTATGTTTAGTAGGTGGGACCCCTATCTTTTTATCTTTTCACTGAGGAGGTAAGAGTTTCCTGTTGGTCTTGAAGGTTCTTTGCCTGCTGGTTGAGGAAGCAACTGGTTGAGGGGCAGTAAGAGAAGAACTTGGGGATGGGGATTGCTGAGATCCTCCCAGCCTTGCCCTCTCCTTTGGAACCTCCAGGGAGACCACCAGACCTCAGAGAATTCTCACACAGAACGCCAGGGGCGGCCCTGTGACCAGTCCCTCTCCCCATGCACTTGCTGCCTGGAAACTTTGCCTTTTTCAGTATCCTTGGAATTATGGAATGAAAGGGAAATTCTCTTCCCATTCAGCTCCCTGCGGTGTAGGAATACTGCTCCTTTCTAACAGCGGAAATGGCCTTGCCCATGTCCTCCAGGTCTCCTGGGATGAGATCCCTGTCACTGGCAGAGTTAAGTTGATCTTTGTTCATTCATGCCAGTTGCCGGGCTTCTGCCTGGTCACCCTTTGCCCTCACCCTTCTGCCCATAGATCCAGAACTTCTGGAATCTATGGAGTTGTCCTGGATGGACACATTTTGACCATGCTTGGCTGCCTGCCCAAGGATAACTCCTCTGATAGAGTGCCACCCTGGAGCTTCTACTCCAACTCTGGTTCATTACCCGAGATTTACAGGTCATGGAGATCTGAGAGTTGGTTCTATAACCCCGATATTCTCAGGAGTGAGAAACTAGGTAGGTAATAAATAAATAGACTAGAGGTTTTAATTGGCTCTAAGAAGCTTAAACCATGAGCTGTGTATTGAGTACAAAGCACCTGAGACCATTTGAGTTCTGGATTGAACTAGTTGTTTCAGATGTTTGTTCCAGTCGTACCAAGTGGACCTGAGAGTCAGCCTTATGTTCCGTAGCTTCATGTCCTGCATAAAGTTCTAGATCTACCTGTTTCCTGTTTGTTGGCGACTTCTACAACAAGCCTTGCTCTGCCACTCCAGCACGGGATGGGATCGTTGCTCGCGATTTGCGTCTATCCTGAAGTGGGAAAGGCTGAGATAAGAACGGGAAAAGTGAAAGCCAAAAAGTTAGGGCATTTACCAAGTCCCCAAAAAGTCAATTTAGCCTATTAGGCTTAATTTAATTTCAGTGTTCAATTATACCTATCTTAGTGTCTTAACAAACAATACTAATTATAACACACGTTCAGAAGGTGCATATAATGAAAAGTTAAACATTTCTGAGAAAAACAAAATTGGTTTGAAATTCCCTTCTGTCTCCTGCAGATGGGCGAGGTGGATGGAATTCATCAGGCTGTAAAGTAAAGGAAACAAACGTAAATCACACAGTCTGTCAGTGTGACCACCTCACCCACTTTGGAGTCTTAATGGTGAGTTGTGTCTTAATCATTCCTTGATATAATCTTGACAACTTTTATTAGATTAAAGACCAAGGATATATATGTAGACTAAATTGTGGGAAAGTGGTGAGTGGAAAAAAAAATGCTCTCTTTTGTTCACCCAAAGTAGAGTAGATTGAACCAAATATTTACTTTTCTTAGAAAATGAATGCCTGCCGAAAACACCAACATTACAAAAAGAGTCCCATAATTCCTCTCCCAAGAGATCACCACCTTTTACACTTATATGCATTCTTTAAGATTCTTTTCCTGTATTTATATTAATAGATGCTTTTGTTTAGAAAATAATTTACAGTGGTTTTACTGCTTGCTTTTCTTTTCACCTAACAATATATATTGTATGCCTTTCAGGCAAACGCGTATCCATCTGATTCAATTTTTTAAAACTACCTTCATAGTATTCCACTGTGTGGATTTAACACAATGAATTTTACCAATCCCATACTTCAGTTGTTACTGTTTTTCCTCCATTATGAACAAATACTGTAATATACATTCTTATCATTTCTTTTCTAACACTGGTATATTTCTGTAGGATCTATTAATGGAAGTAGAATTCCTGGGTTACAGGGTATGATCATTAAATTTTTTACATTTAATGGTGTATTTTTTTAAGATTTATTTATCTATGCATACAAGAGCTGGGGTACAGGCTAGAGATGAGGGGGGTGAGAGGATCCACCAGAGACAGAGCGGGGAACAGAACAGGCAGATTGACCGAAATACACTGCTGAGGGGAGCAGCGGGTGAGACAGGAGAGGTCTGCCACGCCATGTGGGTTTCTCCCTGGCCGGCCGGGGATCGAACTCGTGCTGCAGAGGCTGCGGATTGCTTCATAGTGTGGTACTTAACCCCTTGCGCCACAGGGAGGCCCTAATGGTGTATTTTTTAAAAGGATATTTGAAGTACTTAACCTAATAAGAGTTATCTGATCAATTTACATCTCCAGGTTTAGCGCCTCAGAGTCACCATTAACTTCTGTAGCTCCTGCAGTCCCTGTGATCCTCCCCAACGTCAGGACTTGCTGTGTTTTCCTTCAAAATGGCTCTGAAATGTGTCCATCTTCTCTACCCACCCCTTTGTACTTCCTTTCTTTTTTTTTAAAGATTTATTTTTATTTATTTATGCATACAAGAACTGTGGTGTAGGCCAGAGGTGCGGGGGCTGAGAGGATTCACCAGAGACAGAGTGGGGAGCAGAGCAGGCGGATCTACTGAAAAACACTGCTGAGGGGAGTGGCAGGTGAGACAGGAGAGGTCTGCTGTGCCATGTGGGTAGCTCCCTGGCTGGGGATTAAACTCATGCCACATGGCTGGTGATAGCTTGATAGCACTGAGACTTAACCCCCACGCCACCAGGGCGGCCTCCTCCGTGAGTACTTTCTTAGTTTTCTTGAGTCACTTCATTGTGTAGGAACATACTGTATACTGTCATCTGAGTATGTCGTGTATGAGCTGTTTCTCCTACTAATGGTAAACTCCTCATGGGCTGAGTGTCTGTATTTCTTATCTTCTCTTCTTTTTAACACATCTACCCAGCAAATAAGAATTGCTCAATTGATACTTATGGAATTATAAGAATTTTGTTTATCCCTTCCAAGAGAACATTGCCCTAGGCACCCTAAGGCTCCTGTCCCAGCTCTGTCACTACCTATCTGGGGTCTTGGTCAGGTTGTTCCATTTATTTGAACCTTGGGTTTTTCTTCTGAAATATGAAAGAGTGGAGTAAACCAGGATTTCCCAATCTTGGCACTCTTGATATTCTGGGTCAAAGAAGTGTTTGTTGTGGGGAGCTTTTCTGTGCACTGTAGGATGTTTAGTAGCATCCCTAGCCTCTGCCCACAAGATGCCAGGAGTGTCCTTCCACATTGTGACAACCAGAATGTTTCCAGATATTGCCAAATGTCCCTGGGTGAGGGGCAAAATCCCTCTTTGTGGAGGAATACCAGAGTAGATCAGCACTTCTTAACCTTTTATGAGTCATGAATCTCCATAATCGTCTGATAAAAGCTATGGACTTTCTTTCTAGAATAATGCACACATATATTCAAATAATTTTTCCTGCCATTTCAGGTCTTTTATGGTCCTCGGCAAGAAATTGCTGGACTGTGTGACTGCTAAGTCTATTTTGTGTCTTAATTTTATGAAAGAATTTTAAGGGCTAAGGAAAAGGAACATTTTTTTAAATGTTCTTGTAGTATTTTGGGACGCTCAGTTCAGAGAATGATTCACTTTGCATCCCAAATTCACTTCTATTAGTTTGGTTATATTTTAAGTATGGAACATGTTAATGACAATAAAACCAAGGACAAAATGTTCTTCCAGTGCTGTTGATGGCTCTTCATGCCTGTACATAGTAAGTTGCACTAGGCATACTCAACAAAAAACATCCAGTCTTATCATATATCCAAGCATGTACTCTGGTTTTATAAGGACTATAGCAGATAAACCATACATCCTGGGAACCTCGTATTAGTGAGCCCTGGAAGAGTTTTGCCATAAACTTGCTCTGGCAAACATATAAACCTCAACACATTATGTTCCCTAGGATTTATCCAGGTCTGGAATGGATGCAGTGAACGAACGGATACTTACACTTATAACATACACTGGATGTGGCATCTCCTCCATTTTCCTGGGAGTTGTGATGGTGACATACATAGCTTTTCAGTAAGTTGATAGTCTTGCTCTGAGTAAGCTGAATTTGGTTTGATGGATACTGTTGTCATTGTAACCTTGTTAATTCCATGTTAATTCCATAAAAGGTTCCTATTCATCACAATAGGAAGAGGTCAGATCCATTAGATTATGAAGTGGACAGGTTAAAAAAAAACAACCGAGGCTCCTTTAAAAAAAATTGTAATTGGATTTTTTTAAAAAGCAACAGGGTTGGGATAGGAAGAGATTTCTCTAACAGGATACAAAAACACTAATCATAAAAGAAAAAGTGGATAAATTGAACTTCATTAAAATTAAGAACTTCTTTCATCAAAGGACACTGTGAAGTAGTGAAAAGGCAAACCACAGACCGGCTGAAGAGATTTGTAATGTATATATTTGACAAAGTCCTTCAATGCAGACACATTAACAATTCCTAGAAATAAAAAGCAAAACACAAACAATACAATTAAAAAATGGGCAAAAAACTTGAATAGGTACCTCACAATGGAGTATCAAGGCCTAGTCCTAACTCTCATTCAAATGTCTAGTATGCACATGACATTGTTGTCAAGATAATTTCTTATCAGAGAAATGCTAATTAAAACCACAGTGATACTTCTGTTCACCCACTAGGATGGCTAAAATTAAAAATGCTGATAATAACAAGTGTCAACAAGGATGTGGAACAAATAGAACAAAATGGCATAGACACTGGAAAATTCTTTGGTAATAACTACTAAAGATAAATATACTTCTAGCGGTAGACCCAGAAATTTCTCTTTGAGAGAGAAATGCATGTGTCCGTTGAAAGAGATGTACAAGAATATCCACAGCAACTTCATTCATGATGGTGAAAAACTGGAAGCAACCTGAATGTATAGTGACCATTGTCTGGTTGAATAAATTGTGATACAGTCATAAAATGGAATGCTTCAGAGCCATAAAAAAAGAATAAACTATTTCTCTACAATAGTATATCTAAATCTCATAGACATAAAATTGAGGAAAGGAAGCCAGAGAAAGAACAGAACGTATGTATGTTTCAATTTATGTGAAGTTCCAAGTACTAGCAATGCTAAATCTATGGGAATAGAATACTGGTTACCTCTAGTGGGAGATATTGAATGAGAGTAGCCATGAAGGAGCCTTCTGAGATGCTGAAAATTTCCTACCCCTTGATCTGTGTGGAGGTTCCTCAGATCTATTCATATGTAAATGTTCATTGAGTTGCATTCTTAAGATTTGTGCTTTTTATTACTTACCTCAATTTTTAAAAAAACATGAAAATCACAAAATCCAAATAATACATATTAAGTAGAAGTGAAAATGCTATATGAAAACATCTATACTTTTTTAATTTGGAAAATGCCAGGTCAGTTTCCACAAGGTGAAATTGTGATCACTTAGCGAAGCATAGGGCCATGCTTCTGTGATACCAAACATTTGGATCTTTGGGGCTCTCCGTGTAACTTGCTGAAATGTTTCCACATCAGGCTGCTAGTTGGTCTTTGTAAATCCAGCCTTGAGTCTACAGAAAGAGTGATGATAGAATCAGTTTCTACAAAACTTTCCTTCTCTCCAAAAGAGAAAAGGAAAAAAGAAGACTGCCTAGCTGAGGGAGGCCACTGTGATTCCTGTTAGGGAAGGTCACTCTACTTAGGATACTTTGATTCTATCTGGAAAGAGAATGAGAGAACTCTATAATGCAGTACCTGTCAGGTAATATGAGTTTTTATTTAATAGTCAGTTCTTTTATTCTTTTACTTTTTGTGCAGCTAAGATATGGCGGTGCTTGACTGAAACCCTAACTATCATAAATGGAATTTTAAAAAAGTAAGAGGGATGGGATAGAAAATGTTTCTCTAACAGGAAATAACACACTAACCATAAAAGAAAAAGTAGATCAACTCGATTTCATTTATGTTTTCTTTTCTTTAAAGATTTATTTATGCATACAAGAGCTGGGGTACAGGTCAGAGGTGTGGGGGGTGAGAGGATTCACTAGAGACAGAGTGGGAAGCAGAACAGGCAGATCTACTGAAATACACTGCTGAGGGGAGCAGCAGGGGAGACAGGAGAGGACTGCTGCACCATGTGGGTGACCTCCCTGGCCAGCTGGGGATCGAGCTCATGCTGCAGAGGCTGCAGATAGCTTCATAGTGCTGTGCTTAACCACTTGTGCCACCAGGGAGGCCCCCTATTGTGTGTTTTCTTATAGCAAACTTCGAAGAGATCATCCTTCCAAAATCCTGATCAACCTGTGCACCGCACTACTGATGCTCAACCTGGTATTTCTGGTCAATTCTTGGTCATCATCACTCCAGAAGGCAGGACTTTGCATCACCGCTGCTGTGGTGCTTCACTACTCGCTGCTGGTTTCTATCACTTGGATGGGCCTGGAGGCAGTCCACATGTATTTTGCTCTAATCAAAGTCTTCAACATATACATCCCACATTATATGCTGAAATTTTGTCTAGTTGGCTGGGGTGAGTATAGCTGCCATTGTCCTTGGGCTGTCTGTGATCAACCTGTGTGTCTTAATTCTAGCCCCATTGGGCAAATCATTGGCGACCCAATTCCTTCATGATTAAGGCAAGGAATTAAGGATTCCTGGTGTTGGGTGTGCATCTCTTTTTCTGCATGGATAACTCTGTAAATTCAATTTCTAGCCATTTTGGTAGGGAATTGGTCCACAAATATTTACTGAACACCCATTTGAGTACTGTGCCTGCTGTGTCTGCTGTAGTGAATGATTCCGATGCTGCAATTGCAACTTACACTTGCTGATGTAACAGCCAACACTCAGGCAGCTCCTCCATGGAGCAGAAGCTGTTCTTGGTGCTGCATGGTGTTCACTTGGCCTTCATAGTATCTAGGTTCCATCATTATTCCATTTAATAGATGAGGAACTGAGGCACAGACTGTGGTGGCGGACTATGGGTGCCTTGACGGCAGGTGTGGTGTGGTAACACACCTGGAGGGTGTGACACTGTGCCTCTGAGTCAAATACAGTGTTGTAAAGCAATGTGAATAAATAGGCTATATTAAAAAAAAAATCACAAAAGCATGGATCTTTTTTCCTTTAATTATTTTTTTTTTTTTGGCATGTTTTATTTATTTATTTATTTGTTTGTTTGTTTTGTTTATACATGCACTGGGTACAATCAGAAGCACGGGAGGGTGAGAGAATTCATCAGAGCGGGGAGCAGAACAGGCAGAAGGACCGAAGTACACTGCTGAGGGGAGCAGCGGGTGGCAGGAGAGGTCTGCGCGCCATGTGGGACCCTCCTCCAGTGGCCGGGGAGCAGCCGGGGATTGAACCGGCGCCGCAGAGGCCGCGGGCAGCTTCGCAACCCAGCGCTCAACCGCTGCGCCACCGGGGAGGCCCTTTCCTTTAATTATTGAGTTGCAAACAGTCTCCAAAATGTGAGTGCTCCCTTCAGCTCCCCGGCCTCGAGCAGGTATTCTGCTGAGCATCTACCTTGCAGGGGGCAACACGCTGGGTGTGTGAGACACAGGTTGATAGGAATCATCCTTTTCATCACAGAATAGGACAACAGAGGGCTTTTCCAGATGCTTGGCACTCGGGGATTTGAGACAGCTTTGAAACAGTGTGATGCTCCTCGTTTAGGAAAAATGCATTGTTAGAAACAAAGACGTCAGTTAAGTTTTGCAAATGTACATGGGATTGGATTTTGAAACCCTGTGTCTAAACTCACGTCACGTTTGACCACTTTGACTGAACTGATTGCTTTATTATTGTCTGACTGAATTGACTGGTTGTTAACTGGTCGATCTAGTCAAAATGTCAAACTAGTAACGAGGGTGGAAACAGCTCCTCTGTCAGAAAAGCACTGAAGGCTGCAGCTGATTGCCCGTGCCCTTCCTCCAAGGTGACCTGTGCAGGAAGAGCCTTGCAGTGGAAGGAGCTGCTTGGATGGGGAGGTAAAAATTGGCGTCCCATCATCTGAGAAGAAATGCTTGATGTGAATGTGCATTCCTGTGAACTAGATTCTTCCATTGCCAAGTTGAATTTTTGGCACTTGAGCTATTTTTAATAACCAGTGGGCGTTGTATTGGAGCCACCGGCATGCTGTTTAGTTTAGCAGATTGGAGAACTCTTAGAAATGTTTAACTTGGAAGAATTTGAAAACATTTTGCAAACAATGGTATTTTGATGCCCGCACAGCTGTGGCTCGTTTAAACAGTGTCTCAATGTCTCAGCACCCACAGTCAATGATCAACTCCCTCCCGGTTCCCTAATGGGAGGCCTCTGGCTTGCTTCTCCACTTTAGGAATTCCGGCGATCATCGTGACAATCACACTCATTGTGAACAAAGATGTGTATGGAACTCTGGGCTCCACGAAGCTATTGTAAGTACTGGCATCGCTGCTTCATCAGGCGGTCATGCTCTTACCTGCTTGGGGCTTGGCCTTGACGCTGGCTTTGGGGAGGGCTCAGTCTCAATCTCTCTGGCCTAAACATAGTCATGACTACACTCTGTAGAATGGTTAGGTGCTGGACTCTGCAAGACCTTGGGGAAGTGACCTTACCTCTTACTGCCACATCCTCTTCTGGAAAATGGGGATAATAATGTCTGCTCTCAGTGTCATGTGCAAATTAAAAAGATGCCTTGGATGTAAAGTGCTCAGCTGGTAGCCTGTTCCACGGTAAGACCTGTGTAACTGGTAGCTCTTCTGACAAGCAAGTTCGCAGAACTGGGAAGGAGTTGGAGCAGCCACTAAGAGGACATACTGAGTATTTTGGGAAAGATGTTGTAACTTTCACCAACAAGATATTCCCTGAAGAAGACTCCAACTTTGTTGTCCTGTTGTTTTTTTTTTCTTCTTTTGATTTATAAGTTCATCTCTTTGGTTCTCTCATCCATGGCCACGAGAGAGTAGCCATTCACTTCGTTCTACCCTTTCAGAGCCTTCTTTCACAAGTCTGTAGGTAGTTACTGTATTGTGCTTTAGGCTACACAATCTCATTTGAGACTTCTGATTGTTTTTTACTTAACCATCTCCATTCTGCTTATTTTCATTATAGATTTCCTCTCCCACTGAATGGGAATCAAATACGGGAGATCTTGCCCCTGAGACTCCTCTGTCTTTCATATTGAGATGACACTTTCCAGAAGGTCAAAATTATATTGCCCTTTCTATCAGATGCCTTCTAATTAAAATTCCTTCTTAGCCTTTCTTTCTCTCCCTTTTCTCTTCCCTTCCTTCTCATCTCCTCTTCAAGGATCCCCACTGTCTAACTAATGGTGGTGATGCTTCTTCAAAGATCAAAAGCAAAAGCAAAATCAGGACAGACTCAAGTCCACCTGAAAAGAGTCCTTTCATATGTGAATTGGCTAGTAAGAGAGGCTGACAGCTCTAAGAGGTTTTAAAAAATGCATTATATTTTGAAGAGGTAATACATACACATGGCACAGAATTCAAAAGTACAAAAGGGTAAAGGATGGAAAGTAAGCTCCACTCTCAACCCCCAACTACCCGGTTTTTCTTCCTTCCTGCAACTATTGTTACTGAAAATCAAATTTGTACAGAGATTCTCTTGCACCCTGTTACCCAAAAGGTAGCCAGACACTATTTGGTACTTAACAGTATGTCTTGGAGATGATTCCGTCTCCAAATATATACTACTGCCTCTTTGTAAGAATTTTCTATAACCTCCTTCAAGGCCAAGGAGGATATTCAGGGACCCTTAATATTCAATTCTATTATGGAAATGAAGTGCTTCCTCCCCTAATCCCTTGCAACACCCACCAGCTCACACATGCATGAAAAGTAGCACCCTAACATGAACAATACAACCAGGAGAGATTTTCCTATTTCTAGAAAAGAGGTCTTGGCTAAGTTCACGTACAGTTAAATTGGGGAAGTTTGTCTGTGTCCAAAAATCAGAGGAAATGCCTCCAGTAATTGCAAATGTTATTAAGTAAAGTATCTATTCATATGAATCACCATTATTTCTTCTTTAATGGAAACTATTGCACCACTAATGAATCCAGTGGCCAACTTTGCCTTTTGTAGTCCAAACCTGCACCTGCAGTGGGAGGTTTCAAAGACACATCACATGTAAGGCAGTACGAGTAGAGCTCCCTTCCCATTGCATTTTCACGACCACGGGTCATCTTCCCCTCGTTTGAGACAGTCTTCAGAGCAGTCCACCGTTGCTGTTTGCTTTTACTGTGATGCTCATCATGCAAAGCAGAATTTCTCCTCCAAATAAAGTTCAGAAATAAAGTGGGAAATTTGGGGAAACCACTTTGGGGGGAAATACATCATTTGGCTTTCTGTAGTTGAGGAACAAAATCATCTCCTAGGGAATTAGACTGAGAGGTTTCTGCATATGTATGCAGAAATAGCTGTGAGGATTTCTGACTTGGTGCTGGACAGACCCCTGGAGTGGGGCTCAGGGGATTGGGGTTCTAGTCCCAATTCTGCCCCCAGTGGATGTGAATGAAATCTGTCTTGTCAGTTTGTCTCTCTAGGCCTGGGAGTCCACGGGTGAAGTGAAACTGACCAGGGGAAGTCCAGAGCCTCACTGCAGAATATAGGTTTGTGTTTCTGCACCTCACAACGGTCTTCTCTTCTCTTACAGTTGTTGGATTAAGGACGACTCTGCCTTTTACGTCTCAGTTGTCGCTTATTTTTGCCTCATCTTTCTCATGAATCTCTCCACGTTCTGTACTGTTCTTGCTCAGCTGAATTCTATGAAATCGCAAAACCAGAAGACTCGGCAAAAGATAATCCACGATCTCAGAGGCACCATGAGCCTCACATTCTTACTTGGCCTCACCTGGGGCTTTGCCTTTTTTGCCTGGGGACCTGCGAGGATCCTGTTCTCGTATCTTTTTGCCATTTCTAACACATTACAAGGTAACTGCTGTCTGTTATTCTTTCTGCTGCCAGCTAGACCTCCTTCAAAGCATTTGTTACTTTGGAAAATAATCTCACTCTCAAGGCCACAAAGGAGGGAAAGATACTCCAAGAGATCTTGCTGTCAATGAGTTGACAGGCAGTCGGAACAATAGCTAGATGTTAGGCTTCATGACATGAATACACAGTCCTCTCTCTCACTCAGGATGTAGGGAGAAGGCCAGATAGCTAACTCAATGCCAGCTAGTTGGCAAGGTCTTCATCAAACACTGACTGGCATTACTTCCTACAGTCTTCATTGCACCAACATTGCTCATAAGTGTAGAGATTCACACTTATGTTGACATTTTGAAGGCACAATTCAGTTGAACATAGCAATTATTGGACAGTAGAAACATGAAATATTTGACTCCATAGACTGGCTACATCAGATACTCTAATCTAATAATATTCTAGTATCTATTCTAATAGTGGGAAGAAGCCAGGCTAGAAAATTGCAGTCATAAAAGAATAAAGGTGAAGAGCAGAATCATGGGTTCAAGGTTGTAGTCTTGGTTTTGCTACAAATTGACCTTGAAAAAGGTCAGGACAACTGGTTGAATTGATAACCCTAAACCAATGACTCTAAAACTCTTTAATCTCATTTCTATATTCTGGTGAAAGGAGCACATGATCAACAAAGTTATTAAATGGTAGGCCAAAGAGGACATTTGAAATAAGAGCTTGGGATTTGGTCAATATGCCTCTGAGTAATTGTAGAGGTTCATTTTAACCTGATTTTACCTATTAAAAAATCTTGGAAGAGAGAGGCATGAAGAAAGCTCTTATTCTCAAGTTTGGCCCAGTTCACATGGGCCACATAAGCGGGTCGTTCATCAACTCGAATAGTCTGTTGAATTTGGGTCTCCCTTACTGCTCTTAATTATTCATTCAATAAACCTTTATACCAAACAGTCCTTTGGGATGCTCCAGTGGAGGGGGGGAGTTATTTATGGTCAAAGAAATTTGTCAAATGTGGCAATTTTTTTTAATATCATTTTTCCGGTACTATTTTTTTTTAAGATTTATTTATTTATTTATACAAGCACTGGGTACAGTCAGAAGCGCAGGAGGGTGAGAGAATTCACCAGAGCCAGAGCAGGGAGCAGAACAGGCAGAAGAACCGAAGTACACTGCCGAGGGAAGCAGCAGGCGGCAGGAGAGGTCTGCGCGCCATGTGGGACCCTCCTCCAGTGGCCGGGGAGCAGCTGGGGATCGAACCGGCGCTGCAGAGGCTGTGGGCAGCTTCGCAACCCAGCACTCAACCGCTGCGCCACCGGGGAGGCCCCAAATGTGGCAAATTTTATCTCTCCCTCCCTCCCCCTTTCTTGAAATGGTACAATGTATGTTAGCGTGGTCAACATTCTGAGAAATTCTTCTGGGGGGGAAAAAGTTAAAAATTTGTTTTAACCCAGATTTTTCAAGACCTCAGAACCCTTTGGCATTGTGGCTGTCATTGTGGACAATACGGATCGATACGCATGAAGCCACTACCTGCCAGCACTTGCAAGGCACTGCAGGATGAAGGGGGAGCAATCTAACACACCACATGGTTTTGGCCCTCATGTCTTATGATCTAAGAAACCATCTCATTTGGGAGTCATGAAATATAGCAACTGGAACCTTCTGTCCCACCAGATTTTGCCCCCCTTCTACAGTCATGTTCTGATTGGAATGTCAGAAGACACAAAATTTGTTCTTCCTCCACATGCCATTTGTATTCCTCTAGTAGCAGAGAGAATATTCTAGGAGCACTGCACACCCCTCGCTTTTGGTTTCTTTAAAAGCTGACTGAGGCCCTGATGACAGTTCTTCACGCCTTGACAGCACTCTCTGGCCATTAGCACCTTGCCTGATGAAGCAGCCTTAGTGTAGCACATTCCTAGAAGTGATTAGGAACCAGGCCCCTGTGCAAATTTCTTCCTCAGCAATAATTCTGAGCTTCTCTTTGGCTCACAAATTCTGAGGAGGAATGGGCTCACACCATGGAAAGAGGGGTGAAATTGAAAGCTGACAAAAGAACAAGAAAGCAGAGCAGTTTAGAGCTTAAAAGGGACAGGTAAGGACAGTTTTCAAAAGAGCAAGTGTTCCATCCCCATGGTGGAGAGGGGAAGTGGTATCTATGCAGGAAGCTTATGTGGGTAGGAGAAATCCAGTTGGGGACTCTCCTGAGGATGGAAACCAAAGCCCCAGAGATCCAGCATCAACAGTGCCAAAGCTGTCTCTGTCAGACATGCTTGATGCCAATCAAGTACCAAACAGTCTCATTTCCTAGACTTGACTACAAGATAGGAGATGCCATCTTGTAGAGGGTGATTCCGGAGCCCTGGGTTTCGAACTCACGTTATACACACACACTCACACATGACTCACATACGGCAAGAATGAAATACAACAAGAAAATAAATAAGCCATTTAAAAGACAGATGGCGAGCTGGCAATTCTGACTGAAGGGGGTTGCCCTGTGGCCAGGTGTGAAAAAATTATGCTCACAATGAGCCATTTCGGCAGGAGGGAGGCACAAATAAACATGCATGTGACAAAAACCCTGACATCGTTCCTCATGCCCATGTTCCAGTGAGTAAGCGGATCAAGCTGTTATTGGAAAGACGAAGGCAGGTGGCAGAGAGGGAGCGCTGGCAGCAGCTCATTGGAATTCACAGAATAACCTTTAAGCCTGGGAACCACCTCAAGTCCCTAAGGACAGCAGAGCGGCACGAGGGGCTCGCTGCCGTCCCTGTTGCTCCTGGTTGGCGCTGCCGCTGGAGGACAGTGCCTGTTCTGAGGCGGGCTTCGCTCTCCTCAGGGCCTGAACCACCTTGCAGGTGGCTGCTACTCAGAAAAAAAAAAATGAAGGCTGCTTGGATTCATCAGCATAGTTGTTTGGTTACGAAATGGAGAGAAAACCCTGGAGAGAAAACCCTGAGTTAGTGGGATTTGTCGCTACGTTTAGCCTCCAGATTGCTGCCTCCCACCTGGAATCGGAGATCCTCACAGGGCTAGGGCAGGGAACAAAGATCTTCCCGTTCTGGCTTCCCATCCAGTGACAGCAAGTCTAGTGCTTCTGCTTGAAACTTCCCAGAGACAGAGCTCACCGTTCCATAAAGCAGAGCCTGCTTCTCTTTCCACTAAGATCTATTTGACAGCTAACGTCGATTTGAGGTGGACAACATGATATGACACGTTGATAGAGTATAGTGCGATTGCCATGGCACCTGTGTACCTTACTTGGGGGGCACCCTCCCCTGAGTGGGGGCTAATGCAGTGTGTAAGCCTCTGGGCTCTGCAGTCAATCTACCCAAGTTCAGTTCTGACGCTGCCAGCTCAATGTTAGCCCTGTGACTGGGGTCAAGTTTACTAGGCTTCTTGGATGCTGACGTCTCTCATGTATAAAATGGAGACTGACGGTGCAATGCTTGTCACAGGGTCAGTGCGTGGTAAACACTGGCCAGGGTGTGTTATCACAGAGCCGTTCCGCAACCTCCTCCCGTCACTCCCGGTTTTAAGTTGACAACCACACAGAACAAGACTGCTTTGTGCTTGTCACGAAAGTCCTTTCAGATCTGTGACTATAGTTCTCATCTCTCTCTCCCCCCTGAAGTCCCCACTCCAAGTTTTCTCTTATCCAAATACGGCATCCCAGTTATTTCACTCTCTCCTCAGCCCACCCCCATTCATGTTCGCTTTTTTCAATAACTCTGAGTGTGGTGCCTGCAGGAAGAGGACCAAGCCAGGACAGGATGGTGGGAGAGTCGCCTGTCTCTGTCAGGGCTCTTTGCTCCCATGAGAGCCCCAGCTGAAAGGCGCTCCGCGGGCATGTCCTACTCGCTTGTGCTCAACTTCAGTGAGTTAAGACCACTCTGATCCAGCACCATGTAGGCCTCTCCACAGGATGCTCAGGGCGTCCTCCAGACATGACAATTGGCTCTTTGGACAGAGAGAGAAGAGAGAGAGATTAATTTTATTTTCTAACCTTATCTTGCGAGCAGCATGGTCACTTACCACTGCCTCTGTCATATTCTATTGCTTCAATGTGGGAGGAAATTACACAAGGACATGAAGGCCAGGATGAGGGGGTCATTGAGAGCATCTGAGAGACCAGCTACAATCGCAAACTGGTCTCTCCTGGTCTGGGATGGACAGCAGCCCAGGGGGAAGCTGTGATTCACACAGACCTTCCTTGTCACCATCTCCGCCTTTGGAAGGGAGACTAGAAAGGTGAGCTCAGAAAGCCAGCAACGGCCCTGGTGTTCCTTAGAGGGGAGTATGAATGGTGATGAGACTTGGCCCGCATCTGGGCCCTGCTGAGGGCTGCTGAAAGAAGCGGAGAACACTGACCTTCTTCTCTGGTTTAGGATTCTTCATCTTTGTGTTTCACTGTGTGATGAAGGAGAGCGTGCGGGAGCAGTGGCAGATACACCTATATTGCAGGTGGTTGCGACTAGATAACTCTTCTGGTAAGACACTAGTTTGCATATGATTTTGAATTTTACAGGCTTTATGAAACTGATCAGATTAGCTTGTCTCCTGACTTGAGTTGGAAAAGCATCAGCATCAAAATGGAGGCTGTTTCCACATCATGAAGATGATTTGTGCTGGTGTGTGGAGATGAATGAAGTCAAGTGAAGAATGTGACTTGGGCCATATTTTAACTTGCTGAACCTTCTCTCTTAGTCCAGATTCCTTGGATTGTTTATCCTCCCTGTCACCTCCTCTCAATTCAATTTAAAGAACATTGATTGAGTGCCTCCTATGTTCTAGGCACAAAGGTTTTCTGCTCCATAGTCAATAGTGGGTTGAGTGAAGTGATGTGCAGCTGGAGAGAACTTACTAGAACATTTAAAGATGCCCTGCTGGTGTGTCACCAGCAGTGGCACATGCTGCACAGTGGGAGGGGCAGTGGACTCTGATGTTGCCTCTGAGAATGGCTCCATGCAAGGCAAACCAATATTCTGTGTATTAACAGACTCTTTCAATTAATTCAGGCAACTTGTCTCAGTCTCTTGGCTAAGCCCAGTCTATTTCCTTTAGGGAAGGCAAGGCTTGAACTTGAAGCTTCTCTAAATATCACAGAGATCCCCTCCTTTACTCCGGGTGTGCCAGTAACCAGCCGGTCACTGCACTGGGCTCTTGGGAAAGCAGGCCTCCTTTGCAAGAGTTGACTCTGCCTGTGGCTCACATTTCAGCTTAAATGTAATTCTCCAAGTTTTGTAGAAAAGTTGACTCCTTGAGGTACCTAGAAAAAACACTGTGCATCAAACTTTATATTTCCAAAGAGGATTGTGGGGGTTCAATTTATATATCATAAGATTTACCCATTTTATGTGTAGGACTTGATGTATTTTAGGTTTTTGTTCCTTTCAGATGGTAATAGCAGACATGGGCTAAATGTGGTGTATCAGCAGGAGAGACTGAAGAAAACCTTCCAGCACAAATTGTTGACACCATCCCTCAGGTCAACGGCAACTAGTTCTACCTTCAAAACCTTAGGCTCCGCCCAAGGCGCACCTTCAGAAATAAGCTTCCCAAATGGTGAGAGAAAAAGTCATGTCTCCATTTAAATTCCAGAGACAGTGAATTATCATGAAGCACAGAGGTGGTCTTGGGAAACACTCCCTCCTCTAAACTGACTGCACATGTACATGTTTATAGCTGGACTCATTCTTGACCAGGAAGGGTGTGTAGAAGCACACAGTGAGCTCAGTGCTTGCTGGGTTATTCGACTCACAGAGAGAATGTTAAAATAAAAATCATCATGGGTAATTAAAAACAATTGTCACAGTTCATTAGAACCAGAAGGTAACTCAGGCGTTGCCTAGTGCAGTCATCTCATTTTACAGATGAGGAAGCTTCCAGAGGAAGCAGAACATGTGTCATGGAGAGTCCCTCAGCCCAGCAGCACCAGAACTGGGGCCAGAACTCAGGTCTCCAGGGGAGTCTCATCACACCCCACAAAGATGTGGGTACCCGCTGGGTAGCTGCTGAGCTGCACACCTTCCCAGATGCTCATCCTCTCGCACAGGAAGCTGCATGTGAAGGCACAGAGACAGATGTTGAGATGGAGCTGAGTATTGGGAAGAAGAGAATAGGGAAAGGATTGGCTGAAAGTCTGAAGTGAAGAGAAAGGCAAAGAGAACAAAAACTGGAGAAGTTCAAGTTGGTTCTGTGATGATTCTGTGTTCTGTGCTCCCAGTTGGACCCTGGGGCCTTTGGTGTCTTTTCTGACCAAAATAGACAAAGTAGATTGTACACACACACACACACACACACACACAGCTTTGATGGCCTGGCTTGCGTCATTCTCTCACCTTCTTGGTGCTGGAGGTAAAGCTGTCTCATCCACTTGCAGTTTTCATTATATTGGCTCTGCTCAACAGCTCTTTTTCTAAGGGTGGCAGCCAAACAGGAAACAGCATGGAGGGGAGAAAAAAAAAGCACTAAATTTGCAGCCAGAAGGCTTCAGCTTAAGTCACTCATGCTGTGACCTTAGGCACATGATTTTCCTGCTCACAGAACATTCATTCTGCCTTCGACATGAAGGGACTAGAATAGCAAATCTCCAAGGTGCCTACTGGGACCAGGTGAGGACACACCATTTTCCCCTTAGGCCGGTAGCCTCGTCCAAGAGTCCCACTCTCCATTTCTGTATGGGAAAATTGGCACATGTGAAAAAAGTCTTTCTCAGGCCACAGGTGCCCAAACTCTGGCCAGCCACCTTGCAAGTATGTTCATGTGGTGCTCGTCTGATGCCCTAGGGGGCTAGGACACACAGAGGGCAGGGCTTGTGGAAGCTTCCGGTAGACAGCAGTTGGGCTCGTTGGGAAATACCATTGCTGCAAAGGGTTCATTAGCACTGGCTTCCCTGCTGTCCCTGGGGGATATGTGTTCATCAACAATTACACAAATGTACCTATGGCGGGGAGGCAAGCAGTAGCCAATGCTGGGTCCAAGCTACCAGAGAGCCAGGGGCCGGTGGCTGGCATCGAGGTGCTTCTCACTGTGACAATAGTTCAGCCAGCGGGGCAGGGAGTGCAGCCTCTTGGGTCATGGGTTCTAAAACTGCCACCTGTCATTCAACTTGGGGTAGCGAGCAGCTCAATTCCATAAAAACAGAGGGAAACATCACGCCCTTGGCACTCTCGGGCTTGAGAAACAGCCAAACCTCCCCAGAATGTCAAATTCATGGGGGATATAGATGCGTGTTTATTGCCATTTTCCAAGGTCTCTTCCCAACAGCCTCCAAGGCTAGTCCATGGATATCCTGTCCTGGGCTGAGTTTCTGGGTTGATGCTGCCTTTTGTTCACAGCACAGGGAGAACACCAGCACTGCCACGGCCTGAACGGTGCTGTCAGAACGAAGGCGTGTGTCCACTATGTGTAGTAAACTATCCCAAGGAAGCGCAGCTTCCCTTTCCTTTCTATCTCCTCTATTTAATCCTTCATCCCATGAAAACTTCTTATGCTTCTACTATTTTCAAAGTCCCCCAAGCCACAGCTGAAAGTGTTCTTTTCTTCCTTCAATGCAGCTGACTTTGATGAAGATCCCTACTGCTTCTCTCCCTTGAGTTGTGAAGTTGTGCCTAACTGTGTGAGAAGAATATTACCTGTGGAAATCAAAATTAATTCCATTCACAAACAAAGATTTCTTCAATAACTCCCCATAAAAAAACCTTCACCCCAGATTATGGAAAATATGGGGTGTGTGAAGCTTCCTGCTCCAACTACATATTCAAAATATTTTGGAAGGGGCCAATGAGGTAGCATTTGGTGACTATTAAATCCAGAATAATTCTACTCATTGTTACAATTGTTTCTTTTCGACACTTGAAGGGGGTAATCCTATAACTCTAAATCATATACAATGTTGTAAACTAATGTTACCTCAAAAAATTAAATAAAATTTGCACCTATACTTATGATTTATCAAGGAATAAATGTCTACAACATTAGAGATTTTGTTTCAAAAACTCTTAGTATCCACATTCTTCCCTGTGAAATTCTGTCCTGAGAAAATCCCACTTCCCCTGTTCCCCATAGTGCTTTATGTGTACTTTTTTTAAATGTGTACTTTTTTTTTTTTTGCAGGGAAGGTGATTGTCTGTGTGTGTGTATAAAGGACTAACATAAATGATGCACCAAGTATCATGTTAGAAACTGTCTTTGAATTGACGATATTTTAGTCACATTCATTCAAAAACAGATTTAGGGACAATCCTTGGGCATAATTAGCGAATCTACAAGTATGTGCATTCTATGAATGCTTTGATTTGGGTGATCATTTGCCTGTAAATGTGGCCGTGATTATATTTATTTTCAGCAATTAGTAGGTTTCTGACTGTCTTGCAGGAGTGATGAAAGTCTAGTCTGTCTCTAATGACCTGACACGCTGTCAAGAACAAAAACGCTGTTTTATAGAAAAGTTCATGCTTCCTGTCACCACTCCTCCTGTTAATTAGTAAAACATGGGTTTTCTGCAAATTAGATGGCAGTTTGAAACTGTTGGGAAAACACCGATTAACCATTTTTCAGGCATCCTTTGGTTTGCTCTTCCTGGGCCAACACAATGGCAGATACTTTGTGTGAAGATAGCACAAGTGACTATGAAAAGAGACCCACTACCCTCTGGACTGCCTTCAGTCAGCAGTCAACCCCCTAGTATTTATTGAGTCCTGACGTGGAAAGAAATGTACAGACCTTCATACTTAGACCACTATCTCCAGCAGCTTACTGCTGGCCAGAACTTTCTCATAAGGGCACCACTACCGAGAAAAATAAACAGTAATTTCTTCTGTCTTCATGTTACCAGCTTAACATTCAGAGTTTTACGAGACTGCTTCTGATCCACTACGCTTATTTTTTGTGCTGTACTGAATGGTGAGAGGAGCGCTGTAGCAGAAGGAAATTTTAACCCCTTGATTGCAATAGTGGTAAGACAGGAGTTTAGATTTACCGTCCCACGAAAAATAAACAAAACTGGGGAGAAGTCATTCTTCAAAAATAAATTTCAGTGTTTGTAGAAATGAACATGTATGGGGGAAATTACCCCCACATGCCCACAACACTCAATATAGGATCAAATGTATTTCGGTTGAATGAACAGCTTATTCAGTAACATACTTCAATGAGGGGGCAGTAGACCTCAGATGAGGAGGTCTTTCCCCCACTCCCATGCCTCTTTCAGGTATTCACTTGTTTTTTTTTTTTTTTTTAAGATTTATTTATTTATTCATACAAGCACTTGGTACAGTCAGAAGCGCGGGAGGGTAAGAGGATTCACCAGAGCCCGAGCGGGGAACAGAACAGGCAGACTGATGAAACACACTGCTGAGGGGAGCAGCGGGCATGGCAGGAGAGGTCTGCTGCACCATGTGGGACTCTTGCCAGCGGCCGGGGATCAAACTGGCGCTGCAGAGGCTGCAGGCAGCTTCACAGCCCAGCACTCAACCGCTGCGCCTCCGGGGAGGCCCCACTTGTTTTTTTTTTTTTTTTTTTTTTTTCTAAAGACAAGGTATATCAGGATGTGTTGAGAGAGCTGAAGAGTTCAGGACAAGCATCCCGGAATGGTAGAGAAGAATGCTGTTAACAAAAGGGTGACCTCTGTGTAAGGAAAGTCAGAAGTTTTATTATTTGTCTATGGTGTTACCACATTTCTCCAGAGGAGTTAACAACTGATTATATTCCTTTGTGAAGGTACTCACCATCCAGCTTTCCATAATTTCCCCCAAATATCTGAAAATATATTTTGATCCCAACTTTGAGGACCCTTCCGATCTGATTAGAGAGGGCTCAGTTTCCTGAGATGGAAATCGAAGAAGAATGATGGTAACATTCTCCATTTTACATGCTAATGGCAAGATATTCACAAAGTGAGATGCACAGAAAAGGGGGAGGCATGTGGCATTCAGGGCCCTGCACTGGGGAGATGCTGGTGTGAGTATAAAGCATAGACCCAAAACATAGACCCGAAAGAAATCAACAATGAGTGGTAACTTCAAATATTGAAAAAAATTAATCTCATATAAGCACATAAGAAAATTATAGCTGTTTCTTTAACATGTGAGTTCGTATGCAAATGACTATGTAAATTAAATAAAAGGTTGGAGCTGGCAAGTTTCCAAGATTTACTTTTGTTAACCTGGTATTCATCACAGAAACAAGGTTGAGGATTTTTGCTTATACCCCATGTCACTTGGCTGTGAGGGGAGGCGAGACTGAAGGATATGCTACATTAATAGGATGAAGGCACTCAAATCACAGGACATGCTAGATAGATAGTGGAGGGATAGATGGTTTTCACCTTCAAAATGTTAGCTGGCTCATCCATCATGCTTAGTTGGTTGTGGGCAGCTATGGGACTAGAAATGGAAATGAATCTGAGTTGCAGTGAATTTTGATGAAGGCCTAGTTCATGCAAGAAAGATTCTTTTGAAACAAATCCACAGCCCACAAATTCCCAGAGGAGTGGAAAACTTTAGAGGCAGTTACAAAGGAAGAATAAAGACCCAGTGAAACAGGCTCCTCCATCAAATCTTTAGACACTGGCCCTTTCAGGGGTGGGACATAAGGGTCTACTTTATGGTGGGTCAGACTTCCCCAGGCAGCATCATAAGAGCCTTTGGTGGACCTAAAAATCGGGTTATGAAGTGTGACAGTGAGCTGGACTAGACACCAGCTGTCTTCCATCCAGGGACGTATTCTTCCCAGTCCCTCTCCCCCTCCGCTATTAACCTCAAGTGGTAGTGTAATACTAGACTCTTCTGCACCTTGAGTTTTTGTTATTGCTGTTGTTTTACATTTACCATTGCATCAGGACATGAAGAGTGTCCTGCTGCGATGTGTTGAAGGTGGTCAGTGTCAATATCTAAAGCATAAGCTGGGCAGGTGCTTGGGCAGGGAATTGCTGCAGAGAGGATGCAGATTGCAGCATTAAATATGGCAGTGAGGGTAGGTCTTGTTGACAAGATGATATTTAAGAAAAGATGAAAGGGAATTACCCACATAGCTTACTGCAGTTGACAAAAGTATTTCTGATGACATCAAGGACAGGTAGCAGTGGAAGGAAGAGGACTGATTCTGAGCACGTGTTGAAGGTGGACACATCGTGACTTCTTGACACATTGGGTGTGCTGATTGAGAAGAAGAAAGATATCAGAATTGACTCCAAGGTTTTTGGCCTGAACCAGCAGAAGGACGGATGGAGATACCGTCACATCTAAATGCAGGGCAGAGTTTGGAGCAGGTTTTCCTTCTGTGTTCCTTTCTGCTGTAGGGACAGATTGGCGGCAGTGCTCTAGACATGTCAAGGTGTCTCTTAGCAATTCCAGTAGAGACGATGTTGACTAGGAAGTTGCAACATGGATGGAGCTTGAGGGCATTATACTAAGTGAAGTGAGCCAGAGAGAGAGGGAGAATACCTCATGGAATTTATATGTGGAGCCCAAAACGTTATACTCGTGGGAACAAAGAGTAGATTGGTAGTTGTCAAAGGCTGGAGAGTAGGAGAAAGAGGGCAAGGTTCAGTTCCAGGGTGAATAAGTTCTGAGGATCTAATATAAAGCATGATGACTATATATGCTAACACTGTGTTGTATAATTGAATTTTGCTAAGAAAGTAGAATATAAATGTTCTCACACACAGGATAAATATGTGAGGTGATGGATGTTAATTAACTAGATGGAGGAAATTATTTCACAATGCATAGGTATAGCAACCCTGATGATGTATATTTCATCTTGCAATTTTATATGTCAATTATACCTCAATAAAGCTGAGATTTAAAAGGAAAGGAAGGGAGGGAGGGAGGAGGGGAAAAGGGAGGGAGGGAGGGAAGGAGGAAGAGAGAGAAAGCGAGAAAGTTGGATACACAAGTCTGAAGTTCAAGGGCGACGTCTGGGCTGGAGGTGTAAATCTGGGAGTCCTAGGTGGACAGGTGGCCTATAGAGCCTTGGGACTTGATGAGATCACCCCAGGAGTGAGCGGAGATAGAGCAGTGTTCCCAGGACTGATCTGAAGCCCCCAATATTGAGCAGTCGAGAGGAGGCCAACCAGCAGAGACTGAGTGGCTAGTAAAGATGGAGGAAAACCAAGTGTCCTGAAAGCTACAGGAAGGAAGTGCGTCCAGGAGAAGGAGTGACCCACTGTCTCAAGTGCTGGGTCAAAGAGACTTGACCCAGGGATGAAAACAAGGAGGTTATTGGTGACTTCGCTGGAGCAGGTTTGGATGGGTGGTGGGGACAAGAGCCTGAGTGGAGGGGCCCCTCGACAAAGCCTCCCTGACGTGCACTGTAAACAGGAACAAATCAATGGCTGGTGGGGGCAGATGAAGCCTTATTAGCTCCCTCCTCTGTAAATGGGACTGCTAGTATTGTCTATTTCTCAGGGTCATAGAAAAAATTAAAAGAGATTCAAATTAAACTTTTTTGAGTACAGAGAATCATACGTGTAACGTGTCCATGACAAACTACGTGCTCAATCAACAGCAGTTAATCTTTTTATAATGTTCCTACTAGAATTAAAAGCATATTCCAATACCCCATTTTTTGAGACATTGGGTGATTATTTACAGCAGGGAGCTTACTCTGACTAACACAGACATAAGGAGTTTTTTCAAAATCAATTACATTGCTTCAAAGCTCACCCCCAAACTTTCCGAT